TACAATACAAAGAAGGCTTCTAAATTGCCTATCTAAGAATAAATATGGGATTTAGTTCCACCATATGGCCATATGATGTTAAGCCCACCACTGCTTTCAAAGTACCCCAATATTGGTGGGTCCTACGCTAAAATGAGGGAGACAAATGAAATAGTACTAGTGTTAATTATTAAGTGTATTATTAAATCCTTGTAAGAGCAATGTGAGTATACAAAAATAAAGTGATGAAAGCAATTAAAAACAGTGTTAAAACTAAACAATTAAAGTGCTAGTGCTAGAATGAATATACTCACTATTGCAGATGATATCTGTGTTGAATGGAGAAAATAATAAAAGTGACCCGACTATTGAAAACTCCTCCTATATTTACACACCTGTGGCCACCTCTAAAGGGCCCTCTTTTTTCATGTATGTAGTTTGGTCACTGTGGCAGCACCTTTCATGCAAAATGCAGGTCTCGGGTGTGCCCCAATGCTTTCTCTGTACACAGTATATTTGGAATTCAGACCAGATTCCTTTGGGGTTAAGCACCCCGCCCAGGCCCCCCCAGCTTCAGAGGCCTCTTTAGAGGTGGCCACAGGTGTGTAAATATAGGAGGAGTTTTCAATAGTCAGGTCACCTTTATTATTTTCTCCATTCAACACAGATATCATCTGCAATAGTGAGTATATTCATTCTAGCACTGACACTTTAATTGTTTAGTTTTAACACTGTTTTTAATTGCTTTCATCACTTTTTTTCTGTATACTCACATTGCTCTTACAAGGATTTAATAATACACTTTATTTTTAACACTAGTACTATTTAATTTGTCCCCCACATTTTAGCGTAGGACCCACCAACATTGGGGTACTTTGAAAGCAGTGGTGGGCTTAACATCATATGGCCATATGGTGGAACTAAATCCCCATATTTATTATTAGGCAATTTAGAAGCCTTCTTTGTGTTGTATGTTTTGTAGTCTGAGTGCGCCGCAACTATTTTTTTCATGTATGAAGTTTGGTCACTGTGGCAGCACCTTTCATGCAAAATGCAGGTCTCGGGTGTGCCCCCAATCCTTTCTTTGTGTGTGTATTACTGTCAGAATCACATCAATTACGTCTATCTGTACATTGTGTTAGCAAGTTTGCTAGTAAAATGTATATATTGGAAGGAAAATCTATTTAATAAGAGGTCTTTCTCTCACCTGTCAATTAGCTCTTCGGCATAAACTCCTGCTCTGAAGAACTGAGTTACAGGGAGAGCAGGAGACACAGGTGAAAATGCATCCCCCCAAACACAAACACACACAAAAACGTATCTTCTCTTGTGTTTCTCTTAACTCCCTTTTGAATTTCTTGTATTTTTTGTTTCTTATTCCCTCCTTTCATTTTTTTCCTCGTTTAGTGTATCTTATCTCCAATTTTCTCGTTTGTGTCTCCTACAACCCCCCTTGTGTGTCTCTTTTAACTCCCCTTGTGTATCCTTTACTTCATCCCAGCCCTTGTGTCTCTTTTTACCCTTCTCCAGCCCTCTGTATGTCTCTTTCCTCCCAGACCCTTTTGTGTGTATCTTAGCGTCAGACACTTTGTCTCTTTCTCCCCTTCCAAATCCCCTCTGTGTGTCTCTTTCTAACTCCAGTCCCTCTGTGTGTCTCTTTCTCTCCTCCCAGTCTAGCTTTGCCCCCCTACAAACCTTCTGTGTCACTTTGTTCCCCTTCCCTTCTGTATGTTTTTTTTTGTGTCTCTTTGTCTCCGCCTCAGTCCCTCTGTGTGTCTCTTTTTTCCCGCAGCCCCTCTGTGTGTCTTTCTCCCCCTCTGTCTCTTTCTACTCCCCCATGTCTCTCTCCCCCTGTCTTTCTCCCCACTCCCCCTGTCTCTCTCACTCCCCCTCTGTCTCCTCCCCACTCCCCCTGTGATTCTCTCTCCCCCGTCTCTTTCTCACCACTCCTCCTCTGTCTCTCTTGCCCCTCTGTCTCTTTCTCCCCCTCCCCCTGTGTCTCTCTCTTCTCTCCTCTGTCTCTTTCTCCCCCCTTCCCCTGTGTCTATTTCTCCCCTTCACCACCCCCCGAGGCTGACCTTATCTGACAGTCTGTCAGATAGCACAGGAGGACTGAGGGAGAACAATCACTACTCTATGATGTGTCCATGCTGGGAATTGTGAGAACCACGAGGGAGCATGAAAGTCAGGTCTGCTCCCTCCCTCAGTCCTCCTGTGCTGACAGCTGCACGGCTGTTAGTATCAGTGAGTGTGCCGCCGGACCGGCTAGGCAGCCACCCGGCCTGGTGGCACCAACATGCATTATAGGAGTTGCGGCTACCGGACACAAGGTAAATTATCCCCTCAAAGTGTTCCACCGGACCGGCCAATCGGCGGCACATTCATGCGGCCGTGATTACTTTGGAATCAGAGCACCCCAGGTGCCGCGGCCCACTGGTACCCATCCTAAAAAAGCCATCCCTAAACCCGTCTTCCACTTCCAACTGTCGTCCAATATCCCTGCTTCCTTTTTCCTCAAAGCTTCTAGAAAGACTTGTCTTTACTCGTATGACTCACTTCCTAAATTCCAACTCCCTCCTCGATACTCTTCAATCTGGCTTTTGCCCCTTTACTCTACTGAGACTTCTCTTATTAAAGTTACAAATGACCTAATCACAGCCAAATCCAAATGCCACTACTCCATACTAATTCTTCTTGACTTCTCTGCTACCTTTGACACTGGTATACATGGCCTCCTTCTCCTAACTCTACAATCTCTTGGTCTGTGTGACACAGTCCTTTCATGGTTCTCCTCCTATCTCTCCCAATGGTCCTGTAGTGTCTCTCTTTTCCAACAGCACCTCCTCTCCTCGTCCTCTCTCAGTTGGAGTCCCTCAAAGTTCATTTCTTTGTCCCCTTTTGTTCTCTCTCTATACTGCCTCTCTTGGCAAACTCATGAATTAATTTGGATTCCACTACCACCTGTACGCTGACGACACCCATATATATCTCTCCTCCCCTGACCTGTTCCCTGCTGTCCTACAACGTGTCACCAATTGCCTTTCTTCTATCTCTGATTGGATCTGCTTCCACTTTCTGAAGTTCAATCTCTCTAAAACTGAGTCTTATTTGTCCTCCTCATAACCCTGATCCCCCTCTTTCACACTCCTTGCAGGTTGATGGTACCTGCCTCACCGCATCCTTTTAAGCTCGCTGTCTTGGTGTCACTTTTGATCCTGGCCTCACCTTTGCACCCCATGTCCAGTCTGTTGCTAAAACCTGTCGATTCCAACCTAAAAAGCTCTAACCAACTCTAGCCCCTCTTACATTTCTTCACTGATTCATAAGTATGCCCCCTCTCGATCTCTCCGCTCTACTGGTGACCTTCTCCTGTCTGCTGCTTCCACCCTTACTGCAAATTCACGCCTGCAAGACTTCTCACGGGCAGCTCCTTTCCTTTGGGACAGCTTGCCTATCCCTGTCAGATTCTCCTCTAGTCTTCAATCCTTTAAGAAGTCCCTCAAAACCCATCTTTTCAGGAATGATTATGGCCTCCAAGAGTAACTTCTATCTCTCAAACCTTCCTCTCGCTCTCTCCTATAGGGCCACACTCCACTCTCAGCTCCAGTTCTGCTACTTTCCCACCATGTCTATGTGCTGTCTCTCTATTGTGTTTTTATACCCCTCTTCCTGTACATCGTAAGCTCATTTGAGCAGGGTCCTCAACCACCTATTGTTCCTGTTACATTTTGTTATTGTCTCATTTGGTAAATTCCCCTCTTATTGTAAAGCGCTGTGGAATAAACAGGCGCTATGTAAATAATAACCAATACTAATAATAATACAGTGTAATTCCGCGTGAATCCATTGGCGTACTTTAGTGTTGTATAAGCGTGTGAATACTGTGATGTATTTGTGTATAATTCATGTATGTGATTACAAGTGTGCATTTTTGCAGTCTGTCTGTAAGGTCAGCGTGCATGCATGAGCTTATATTTGTTGTTAGTGTAAATTTACATTTATATAGGCACAGCATGAGTGCAAATTGTTGTGTATTTTATGTAATTACATTGTGTCCACATATTGTTTGTGTTTTTAAATGAAGTATCAGTATGTGTATGAATGCAAAGGTGCCTTTGCATCATGTAAATATGTGTGAATGCAATGGTGTCTGTGCAGAGTACCATTCTGTGAATGCTGGAGTGTATTGGTGCACAAGTTGGTTTATGTAAATGCAGGGGTGCCTGCATTAGAGTGTGAATGCAGGGGTGTCTGTGAAGAGTGTTGATGTTTGTGAATGCAGGGGTGTCTGTGAAGAGTGTTGATGTTTGTGAATGCAGGGGTGTCTGTGCAGAGTGTTGATGTTTGTGAATGCAGGGGTTTCTGTGCAGAGTGTTGATGTTTGTGAATGCAGGGCTGTCTTGATGCATTGTGGTTATGTGTGTGAATGCAGGGGTATATTTGGGAAGTGTTAGCGTGTGATAATAGTAGACTTGGTGTTGGCGTATGGTGTGTGTGAATGGCGTTATCTGCGCATAGTATGTGTCAATTATGAATGCGTGTTGTGTGCAAGCTCCCTCATATCATATCAAGTCCCGTATCTTTAATTTTGGATCCGAGCCCTAATTCACTGAAGCATCCGCCTCAGAACTGCCTCTACAAAGGCTGAGAGCGAGAGAAACAAGCACTAACTAGTTTCCCCCGAACGTAGACCTGCTCTCTGGTACATGCTCGTTAGTGCATCCTCACTTAATGACCAATATGTTTTACAACCGAGTCGTAAGAACGGAACTTGGTCGGTAAGTAAGGACTGCTAGTAGTTGGAGGGGCAGATGGATATAAGTGTTTTGTTTTTTCATTTTAAAGCAAACAGCTGTTTTTTAATGCAGCCACATATTATAAAAAGAAAGATTAGTAGGATGGTGCTCTGCCAGGCCACTTAGGGGGAATACATACTTCCTAACTCTGTCTCCAGAGAATCGGGATGCCGGTTAGATGGGGGGGAAAGGAGGAGAGGCCAATGACCTGCTCAGAATAGGGGTGGGCACATTCCCCTTTGAACACACCAGGCTGCCTGTCTGTCGTTTAAGATTGGCCCACTTAGGGAAGACCCTGCAGGGAGCACTATTTCAGTAATCTCTGCAGTGTGCTAGTGCCCTGAACATAGCGCTCACACCTCTAATGATGCACAATGCATGTTGGGGGCAGTTCTTTGGTTGGGATGGAGGGACAGGACCCGAATATTGGACTGTCCTGCCGAAATCAGGGCAGATGGGAGGTATGAGAGTGCGCAATGTCTATGCCTATGTGTCCTTTGAAATCCCAGAGAGCATCAGCAGCACATTGTTCATGGGTTTAGAGGACATAACATGGAGCACTGACCTCAAAGTCGTTGTTGGGGTCATCAGGTTTTCCTTTGGCCTCAAGCCCTAGGTTTCGGGATCCTAGCATAAAATGATATTGGCACTCAACTGTGTGATTGGTGCTGTTATTGAGGTGACCAACAAGCTGATTACCTCCAAATAGATACAAAAAATAGAAGTGATGCCGTACTCAAAGTTTGAGTGAAGTATTACTTTCTAGTTTAGGAAATGCACTCCCCTGGCTTAAACTCGAATGAGGTTTTTCACAAAAGTGTGAAAGTTTAGGCCAAAATAGATTAACTGAAAACAATTTGGTTATTCTGGCATAATGTATCAAATTCAATCGGAATTCTCTGTAAATTCCAGACATTTCAAACTTTAGTGAGTAATTCTGATTGTCTGCAAATCAAAACTGGAAAGAGTACAGGTTATGTGTGTGCAAGAGAAAACTGGCCCTTAAAATTACATTTGTTACTAGCTATCTTCCCTGCCAGGAATCTGGTAGTGTCACTTTGGGGGGAAGGTATTTGTGCAGTATATACCTGCCTAGTGTGCCTAAACCACATGAACAAGGTAGACAGATCTTGTATAGTGAGGAAGGAAGTAAAATCCCTTTATTGATGTCACTGATCTAAGGGTCTGTTATCCATTATGACTGAGTATCTCACCCCTCTCATCCTCCCTCCTCTAAATCTTCTCAGGGTATTCGTTCTCCTATTTACCCAAATACATGGATTCATGAGATGGAATATGGTATGGTATGTGTAAATATTATATAGTATGTTATGATGGGACGGAATATGATAAAGTATGTTATCATGAGACAAAATATGGTATGTGATATCATGGCATGGAATATGGTATAGTATCACGGCATGGAATGTGTTGTGTTATCATGGGACGGAATGTGGTATGGTACGTGTTATCATGGGATGGACTATGATATGGTATGTGTTATCATGGGACGGAATATGGTATAGTATGTTATCAAGGGATGGAAAATGTATTTATTTGAAATTTTAGATTATGGAATGTATGGGAAAAGAAAAGAACGTCTTCATAGGGGCATACTATAGATGACTCACGGGTGAAAGGGCAGATCCTGCAGATGCTAAGGGTTGGTCTTTGGGAGAGGACACGGGTGAGGATTTGGATAAGGATACACTATGTTCAGGGCTCAAGCCCTGGGTATTATTGATTTTTCTTTCATGTAGCTGAATAATACAACATTTCATACCATTCTAAATTTGATGATTTTCACTTCAGGTCAAGGTTCTATGTGGTATCTCTCACTTTGACAGTCTACAGGTGGGTAACATTGCCCTTAATTATCAATAATACTTTTTACGGGTAACAATGGACCTCCAGTCACCTATTCTTATCCTCACCTACTCCCCAGAAATCTCAGTTCAATTCAAACTTGGACGGGCTAATACGGATGTTCAGCATAGCTGCTGGGTGAGCACGTTTTATTTTTTTATTGTCAAACAATCAAAAAAGAGTTTAATAAAATCTAAGGAGATGGCACCCACAGGCTCTTTGCACCATACCCATTTATACAAACTGGAATATTTACGGTCCTTTAAATCGTACAGTCTTATTAACTTATTAAAGTGAGTATTGAAAGTGAATTCAAAGTGAAACATTCTCTAAACCACCAATGCTTCCATTTTGGCTACTTGAGCCTTAAATTTGAAATTACCTCTGAATTTATTTACAGATCTCACTAATAACCCTGTTAGTATCTTTCTCTGAATTATGAGATGCACTAAAAAACATAAAATGATATTGGCACTCAACTGTGTGATTGGTGCTGTTATTGAGGTGACCAACAAGCTGATTACCTCCAAATAGATACAAAAAATAGAAGTGATGCCGTACTCAAAGTTTGAGTGAAGTATTACTTTCTAGTTTAGGAAATGCACTCCCCTGGCTTAAACTCGAATGAGGTTTTTCACAAAAGTGTGAACTATTGGGAATTCAAAGATTATTAAAAGTGAATTAAAAAGTTTAGGCCAAAATAGATTAACTGAAAACAATTTGGTTATTCTGGCATAATGTATCAAATTCAATCGGAATTCTCTGTAAATTCCAGACATTTCAAACTTTAGTGAGTAATTCTGATTGTCTGCAAATCAAAACTGGAAAGAGTACAGGTTATGTGTGTGCAAGAGAAAACTGGCCCTTAAAATTACATTTGTTACTAGCTATCTTCCCTGCCAGGAATATTGTTGTTACAGGCCCATCCTGAGTAATTATCTGGATTTATCAAAATTTAGACTGGCTTTTATTCACCACCTGTGGCTGGAACAGGGATTAAATGAACTGAATTCTGGGAATGTTTCACATGTGAATCTCGTATTGTGACATCTTTGCTCAGATTAACTTTTATTAGGTATACAAAGGCAGTGTTTGGCTGCCAGCCTGTTTGACATTACTATAGACATGTTTAAAAGAAGAATTGTTTTAATTGGCTTAACAGAAAGCTACCTGGAGCATTGTGTTACATTTGTCTAATAACGGGGGAGAGATGTATAATGTGTGGGTGAGACAGAAATTGGGCAACTATGTGCAACTTGTGTGGCTGCACCAAAATACAAATATTGCTGAATTTCAAATTGTAGGTCAAAAACAGCCAATTTGAGAACATTTAATAGGTTAGCTAGGGTTTCAGTTAACATATTTTGGCCCTTAAATTTGAATTTTCTTTGACTTCCAAACCATTCACACGTTACTGAATAAGTCTGTAAATAAGCGATTTGTAGTGAGTTGACAACTTGAAAAATTTAGCTGAGTTTGAAATATACTCTGACTCAGTTGATTTGGAGATTGGATAATTTGTTTTTCTTTTTTTTTAAATTAGTTGTCATCATACCAAAATCCTATGTTTAATGAATATATCCATTATTGGGCCTTTTTATTTTATATTCAGATTTGTGAAAACATTTATTTGTGAATTATTTTATTATTTCTATAGCCTGTTAAGATTACTCACAGATCTTCAGCATTGTATAAAACGCAGATGCAAAAATAAGACTAAGGGGCATATATTTAGCAATTAAGTTTTTATTTATACATCTCTCCCCATGGACTTGCTTAATTTTTTCACTTTGTATTTATTTATTTTTTTGTTACAGCAGGTTATATTTTCTTTTTTTTTACTTTCCTCATGTACATGTTAAACTGCATGTATCACTTTCATTAATTCTGCAGTCGGAAATAGTGAAATATGATCCGGCACATGACTTCTCAAATGGCCTGGTCTACACCAGAGATTAATATTACTCTGTATACGTTACTCTGGAGCTAAGAGTATGATTTCTTATCAGCTTTGGTTACACTTGGTTTGCCAAGGGCACATGTTTGTTTGTCCTTTAATGACCTTCAGTTTTGCAAGGTGAGTGATTGGTCACCATGTCTTATCCTGATACCGTGTGAATAATTCCATTTCTTTATTAGCAAACTAAAACCACCAATGATACTGTCACCTTCCATTGGTTATTATTACCGAAGTCCCAATATAATGTGGAAGTGCAGTTTCCCTTTGGGTCTCTGGGGAAGAGATGGATGACAGACTTTGGTTTTTGTAAATAAATGAGTTCACATCTTCAGAGTTACAACCATAGCTTTCTGTCCCATGATCTGCTCCGGAACACGGTGACATTTGGCACGTCCCATGTTTGGTTAACACATGATGGTAATTAAGAGGTACATAGGGCGCTTGTTCACTAGACTTGAAGTGCTCATGTTCTGTATTGGGGTGCGGAAATTTTGGAGTCACTCGTTCATTGTTTTCTAGTTCATTGTAACCTGTGTGATGATGGTTGACATTCCCATATCGGGTTTCCTTCATACAAATCCTTCGTGTCTGCTCATAAACCATCGGTCTTGGTAAGAGATGGCTTAATTGTCCGATAGTCTTTGCATGAAGGCATTCAGACTTTGGCAGAACAGAATTGTTCAAAGCATTGGAATAGTGCTTCTCACTGGCTGCCATTTTCTCCTGCTGGTATCTGCTGAAAGTCAACTTGTTTTCCTCTTTAACAGTGTGGTAAATTGGCGTTGACCTGGTTTCCAACTTATTGGTCTTCATGGCCGTCGCACAGTAGAGTTCATCTTTGTATCTGTTGTTCGGTCTTGATGATGAGCATCCAATAAATCCTTCAGACAGGTTGTCTCCATCACTGTATCTCTTAGTTGCTGTTGACATATAAAGAAAAATAAAGATATTAGTTGTGTTTTCAAAGATAGATTATTTATAAAATTCTCATAGTGACTGTGTTAAAATTTCACTGAAATTCCAACCCAGATATACTGAGACTGGTAGGGACTACTTTGCCTGATTATTTTTCCTATGCCTGACCTTGGCAGAACTACCGCAATCTAGAAGTGTCAATGCAGGGACTTGGCTCTATCTATAGAGGATCTCACAGTCTTGCAGGATCCTCCAAAAACCTCAATACTGTACTCTCATACATACGCGAAATTACAGCAGTGACACGTTGGGTCCTGGCACTTCAACAAAAGAGGATCGGCCGGAAGAAGGTGACAGTATCCACAAGGGGCAGGTTCAGATAAGTTATACTCACCTTTGCCTGCCCTCCTCCCCCGCTCAGCCACTGGACCACCAACTGCAATGTCACTGTCAGTGGTCTTCGGAAATTATGCAAGTCGCCCAGATAGTTACAGTGCCGCTTTAGGACAGTGGATGCCTCACCAGTGCCTGAAATATAGCCTGCTGATAACTGAACTACTTCCACTTTCTCTCCATTACTATACTTTTTTTTTTATTAATTACATTATTATATCCTCAACTAGCAATAGCAAAGCATGACCCAGCTTTGTCATAACTAATTCTTTCCTCTCTTTTAACCCACACATTCAGTATCACCTTATTCCTTCTGCCTTAACCATCATCTCATAGTTTGTATATGCCCACAAAACACTAACTCACTGTTACTGTATCCATCCTCTCCTGTGGACAGGGCTTTCAAAACAGTATCAAGACAAAAAATAGTCACAGAGACTTTGTTCCACTGCATAGGACCTTATAGATATTTTTTATTACTGAGAAAGTTGAAAGTATGAATCCAGTTTTGTAAAATAGTAACCTCCTAATAAAAGCATAAGAATTAGTCACTTAATACACTTATGTTTAGTAGAGTCCAATTAAATTGGAAACGGTGTTATGAAAGTGAATGTTTTTGGCTGACTATTTAGATCGGGGTTCTTGTGCCTAGGTTAATAATTCCTCATGGTAGATACAGTCTATAGACTATTGTAGAGTAACATGTTGATAACTCTAGTTTAAGGGGACTCTGCTACCTAAACAGTCTGTGTATTGCATTTAAAAGAGATGTATGCTCATATCTCATATGTGACATCACTACCAACCCTTTTAAATGTTAATATAAATACATTTCCATTTATTTGGATAGTTAATACATTGCTAAACACAAATACACACACTTGTAAAGTACATACCAACAGACTTGTGGTGGTGAAAAAAGTGTGGATGAAAACCCCTTCCACCTGCAGTAAGTGGATAGTTAATACATTGCTAAACACAAATACACACACCAGTCAAGCCATAAGACTTGCTTTTCCCACAGAAATTCACTTTAACAGTGCTCTCACTACTGCAAGGGATTCTGGGTAGGCGAATGCAAATTAGCTCAACAAAGAACCACATTTTTACCCTATAATTCCACTTTATACATGGATTCCTTGGAGTATGTGTCTGCTGTATACAACAGCTAGACTGGTGTGTGTATTTGTGTTTAGCAATGTATTAACTATCCACTTACTTCAGGTGGAAGGGGTTTTCATCCACACTTTTTTCCCCACCACAACTGTTTGGTATGTACTTTCCATTTATTTGGTATATATGGTTTGCAGAGATATTTGTCAGCCTGGCACACACAAGCACGGGGCTATTATCCCCCTTTTTAAAACCTCCTGCCGTACAACAGAGCCATAAAGTAATTGATGTGCATTGCGTCACTGGCGTTCCCTGGTGCTTGCTCCACCACACTCTAACCCTAGTTTGGGACTATGCAATTCATGTTTGAAACCAAACCCAGTATCACTGCAAAAATACCTACATTCTTAAATAGTAAAAGTTTTTAAAAAAATGAATTAAACCATCAACCTGCTGTACAGTTCACTATTCATTAATTTATTTACTTTTTTTGTAAAACATAAATCCACCTTTTTTTCCTTTGAAACTAGTAACTCGTCCTACAACAAACGCACCTTCATAACTTTGAGCCAGGCTGTGCTGAAGTGGTGTCACCGTTGGATCGTGAACATTCTTTGGTGGAGAATTTTGCACTATAGAGTTGGCATAATGCCAGTGGCATTCGCCACCCGTCTGTAGTGTGCTGAAGAAAAACCGTGCCACTTCACAGGGGGGTGCTTGCGACTGTGCAAATCTAGACGGCCTTCCTTGTTTCTTACCACCTAGTACGTGGGAATCGATGGGAAAGTGTCCATAGTGGTAAGGAAATGGCAAGCTGTACGCAGGGGTGTATAAAAGTTCATTGTTTTCCGAATTACTGTTCTGGTCTTGAGTCATTGCAGCATTTATCGTGGGGCTCCCTTTCCAGTTTCCATATTGGGTGCATTCATTTTTATCATTTTGGAAAGTGCTGTATGGCTGAAAAAGCAAAGAAATGACAAGATAACAAACACTAGTCTCGATGTCGTGCCTTACAATTCTTAAGTCACTTGCATAAGCTCACTCTTTCCATGAGAGAGACTGTACAGTTTGCACATGCTTGACTACAAGTGCTTTCATTCTGTAAAAAAAAAAAATGAACGAAGCAACTCATGAAGGTGACAGAAAGTATTTGACAGTTGCTGTTAATCAAGAATTCTGATCATTCATACTGTTAGGATCCCATCCAATATATCTTCCTGGGATTTGGATTAATCAGATAACAATGGTGTGTACAGCGCTACGGAGGTTGCTGGCGCTATATAAATAATAAAATAATAATAATATGGTAAAACCACTAACAAGGCTTTTTACTGCAGTGAGAAGTCAAAGTGAATTTCAAATCTAAGGCCACAGAAGCTGAACTGGAAGCATAGCATTTTTGCACTTTGGTTATTTTGTCCTTAAATTTTAATTTATTTATTTATTATTTTTATTTATTACTGGTATTTATAAAGCGCCAACAGATTCCGCCGCACTGCCACTTTGGTGAATAACTCCTATATTATTTGGTATTAAAAACAACGCAGCAATCCAGTAATCCTGGATAAAATATGGCTGTAAATATCAATTCATTATGATAAGCTAACACTTTTCCTAACACAAAAAAACTTTTTATAAGGGGATTTTGCGAGGGCTGAGCACTAATATAACTTTATTGAGCATTTTATTGATACTCAGTTATTTTATAAAAATTTTTTACATTTACTTTATAATATTTGACTGACCTCCGATATTTATTAAGGCCAAGGATTTCTAAAATAAATTACAATTTGTGGAGAATGTAACTTTTAGTACAAAATAATCAAGGTGAAAAAAATGTGGGTTATACAATTTTTCCAATTTTGCTATTTGTTGCCTAAAATTTTAACTCAACCTGGTTATTGCTTATAAAATCAACTCCAAAATGAGGAGCAATCATCAGAAACATTTCGCTGGTTTCCATGGTTTTTACCTGGGGGTACGGATTTGTTCTTGATTTGGATTTAAGTTTCACCGGTTTCATTTTGCCTGGTTTCCGTGCTTCCTGTGAGGTAGTCATTGTGGTCCTGCAGGGAAATGGTGTTTTCGAAACCGTAACTTGCTCTAAAGACATCTGGAGGTCTTTGTATTCAATATCTCTACAAGGGAGAATAATGGCAAATATGAACTTTTTCATTCAATAAGTAGCAGAGTGACATGGGAGAGGAAGCTCTGTCACCAATAAGACTGTGATTACCCAGAGTACACACATTTCTTTATTTTACCTGTAGCTGCTATTAGTAAGAATAACAAGCCCTGATTTGGCAATGATATGTAAATTGCAACTGATTGCTAGTAGACATATATTGCCACTGCCCCTGTGAGCTACTGCCAGCCTGTTTAGTGAAGAGTGGGCCAGCACCTGCAATCATGCAATCTTCATCTTTCAGAATCTCTCTCCAACTCTCACAAGCCCCTGGCCACTACACACATCATCCACTGCACACACTCTGCATCCACTACACACACACTGCATCCACTTTACACACACTGCATCCACTACACAAACACACTGCATCCTTGTCGGTGGACTCTGGGGCGGGCACTGTGGGCGGATGCAGGGGTGGGCCTTATGGGGGACTCAGGGAACGGCCCTTGGGTCCAGAATCTGAACTGTGTCTGATGGCTGCCTTTGCAGTAGGCAAGTTAGGTTGAGCAGCATGTTGAGTTTTACCGAACATGGCGACTTAGTCAAATATAAAGTGAAATCTAAAAAAATATAAAATAAAAAATAAAAAAATGGAATACATTTTATAAAAACAAGAAGTGAAAATTTCATGACAGTTGTCCTTTAAGATTAAAACATTTAAAAATAGTTTTACTGTACCTCTCTTGGCTCCTTATATTTCTGTAGGGAGGTAAATGTACCAGTACACCCCTATATTAGGGAGGGAAATGTCTGGAGCTCTCCAGTACTGTGTGGAGGTACCAAATACTTGTGTATATCCCCTCAAAAAAGAAAAACTATCAGGGTTATTTACTACACTGAGAATTCAAATTCAAAATTGAATTTCAAATTTAAGGTCAAACTAGCTAAACTTACAACTTGACCTTACGAATAGCACAATTTTTGCCTTAAAAACACCTTTTGTAAGGTAATTATTATTGGTGGAATCTACATTTTCTTTTTAAATATAATTGATAGTAGATAATCTTTTTAATAAATAATAATTTTATTAAAAATCCAAAAATATTTACATATCTGATAACTCCAACAGTCTGCTTAACTTGCTGGACCCAGACTGGGTTAGACTCCCTGCCCATTCCAGTATTTTGAGTTTTCTCCAGGGTTCGAGTTCAGTAGTAGTACGATTAGGCATTTGTTTGAAAAATGATTTTGACAAATGATTGTGGCTCAGTAACTACAATTTGAAAATCAGTAAATAAGGCAGGCTCACATGGTTTGATTGGCAGTTGGTACACTAAATTACTCAAATGTAGCCCACAACGAATCTCTGTAATAAGCCTTGTATCACCATCAATCATAAATGTTTAATAGTTTTACTGTTTTTTTTTTTTTAATTGAGTATTCTTCTTCAGCCAAGGGGATGTATTACCATGGAACTCTGCACTTACGTGAGCACGTAGTTCACACTCACAATGCAGTGAGGTCTCGATGAACGACTGTTGTGTACAATGGTTGCGTAGCTCTGCACCCAGACCCAGCCTCCGTGCTTAGACAGTAGCCGGTAATATTTTGTTGTGACCTGGCCTTTCACCAACACTGGGGAAAAAAAATCCACAAAAAACATTAAGTAAAAATATGAAATCATTTTTGTATATCATTTTATAAAGTTTACTAATTGAAGATGCATAAAAACAATTAAAAAACTGTATTTTTTATTTTTGCTAGTTAGGACCTTACAATCTTTTCATTATTATTATATTCTTCCTACACAGATATTCACACATATTCATGATTACTCTTATTGGGAGAGCAGTATCTCACTAAGGGCACTTATTAGGAGCAAGCGGTTTACAAACATTATAGTATTTATTTTTCCTACAATAAATCATATTTACTATGTATTCACTGCTCAATTAACCATCTCATTATTTTTTTTTTTAATTTAAACCTACCCAAATAATTCCTAATTTCAAATTTTGTACTAATAAATAACCACCTATAAGAACCCGACAGTGATCATAACTACTATCCAGGGTTTGGTGGTTTCGAGACTATGAGTTCACTAGGTATGATTATAAATCACTGTGAATGAATCAGCATTCACTATAATAATATTTACTAATAACAACTGTATCAGAAGACACTATTCTCATATATGAATTGTTTTTACAGTTATCAGTGGGTAGACGTGCCAAGTACAGCAAGTTCCAGAGCTGGAACACTTAGATTCACCATAGGTTACTATATCAACATATCTTTGTATAAGTACCGTGTTCCCATTCTAAGAGAGAACAGCATTTTTATCAGTGATAGAAGAAATTAACACAGATTGTTTTTTTATTTTTTTATAGATCCATAAAGAAAAGATAAGCAGTTTCAGACTTTCTCAGTGCTTGTAGATACCAAACACCATGTAAAATAGTTTTTCCTTCACGCTCAGTCAGCTGTAGTTGAAACAATGTTGCTTCATGAATTAGCATATTGCCCTATGTGAAGGAGCTGGTATCATTCCCTGAGGTTGCCTAAACCTATATTTAGTTCTACTGAACAGACTCGTACCCCCCCAGTTCGGGAACCGAACAGAATTTGTGTGGTCCAACTCTTTATTGACTTAGAACACCGACGACACCTGTCTGTCAACTGCAATTTAAGGATTAACTCGAGTGCTTGCCCTGGGTGTCCACCATTCGTATAACCAAACGCACGTGGTCCAGTGCATTTTGATTTCCTGAACACATGCAGTGGTACTAGGTCTTTGAGTGCGTGGAACTCATTACGGCTACACGTTCTCGCGAACCCTGGTTAAGATGGTACTGCTCCATGTACACTTTCCCGACTAACTAGACGAACCATGTTTGGGAGATAGGATCTACCGACTGGAGGGAGCTTTCGCTACCTAAGAGCCAGGGGGAGCGTTCATCAGTGTTCGTGCAGGAAGTCCCGAATGAAGACCAGCCGCTGCCCTGAATTCTCTGGAACTCTTTTGGGGCATCACCTCGTAGCTGGCCAAAAATTCTCCCGAATAGTGATCCTGTTTCACCAAACCAATCTGAGCGCTTTTCAGATATGTTGGGCGCTCAGACACAGGCAATTCGGGGATGTAAGAATTGTGGGGTTCCTGTAATGTTTTCCTATGTTTTTCCAGTGTTTGGTGATATTTTATGTTAGTCCCTGTAACTGAGAGGTAATAGAGTTATCATGCATCCCAACTCAATTATCTCTCAGACCCAGAGACTCTTGGGAAAAACCCATGTAAACTTGCTGTAGAGACCTCATACTATGGGGCTGTGCATAAAAAGCTGTGTATGGGCTAAAGAAAATCAGCTGACTCCCAGAACTGTGTGGCACCCAGTTACTGGGGAATGGGCTATAATCACTGAACACTGTTTCTTTCCAGCTCCAGAGTATTCCAGCGGAGATCTTGTATCTTAGCTCTGCTACACCCTTTGCTCAGAATTAACTGATGTTACATGCTTGTTATTTGGCAAGGACAGTATTACAGATACCATATGGGCAACATGTTCATTCATGGAGTGAACCATTGACTCTGTTCGATGAACGAGGAGATCAGAAATGAGAGCGACCCAGAGATATTGTGTATAATGGACGATAGTGGTTCCTGTATGTGATAATACTGGGTAATTATTTCGTGATTGTTATTCAATCTCTTAGGTATACATTTCAGGTTCAGAATTAGATGTATCTGATGAAAAGCTTGAAGACATGAAACGTTGTACCATCTTTTAGTAAAACTAAATAAAATGTTAATTTAGTGAAAGGATATTGGCTCTTACAGACTTACAGAGATGATGAGCGTATCGAAGGTGGAACACGTCACAGCCATGCACATGGTGATAGAGGGTTTTCTCAATTAAGTCTTGCGGTTCATATCCAGTTAGTTCAGCTACTCTGCAAAGAAAATGCTACATAGTAAAATATATTTAATAATAAAAAATTAACATATTAAAGGAAGCAGCAAGCTGACAATGTGACCTGGGACTCTGATGCCTAAATACTTTACACGCGCACAGACTATCACAACATTGCATAATAATTTAAGGAGCTTATTTACTAAACTCCGAATTGTATCACATACAAAATTCAGGCTACAATAGCTGATCTGGTAAAAAAATAACCTATCTTCACTATAGTCACAGCTAGGCTCTTTCAGATAAAAATGTTTCCATTTTGATTTTAATTCTGTACAATTTGATGTTTAGTGAATAAAGACTTCATGCACTTCGTAAACATAGCTGTACAGATAAAACATATACACGTTAAAAAAATAATATCCCAATCATATAATGCTCTTTAACAGTCAAACTAGAACACATGAAAATTAATTAAAATCTGCCATGTGTTTGGGTCCACTCAGCTCCCAAACAAGTTTTAACTCACATGTAACATCACAGAGGGGACCTTAACATTTTATCTATCAGGTTGGTGATACCCCAGTAAAGTCTTTAAATGCCAGTAAAGTCTCGCCTTCAAGACTTCGAGGGCTGCACCGTTCCTGTGGAACTCACTTCCCTCCTCCGTTAGATGCTCACCCAGTCTCCACTCCTTCAAAAAATCATTAAAAACCCACTTCTTCATAAAAGCCTTTCAATTAAACTGTTAATAGCTCCCGACTGATTCCTCTCTTGCAACTGTCACTAGTCTAATACTATCCTTACCTTTTGTGTCACTTCACCCCACTCCCTCTAGCATGTAAGCTCATTGAGCAGGACCCTCAACCCCTCTGTTCCTGTGTGTCCAACTTGTCTGGTTACAACTACATGTTTGTTCATCCACCCATTGTAAAGTGCTGCGGAATTGGTTGGCGCTATATAAATTATAACATAATAATAATAACACCAGGAATGTTCCTTATACATGAGAAATGCAACAACCCAGACAATCATTTCAGCTTTTGGGTTTCCCCAGTGATGGCAACCTAATCCCTGCTAGGCACAGTGGGCAAGGGGTCCACATCAATATTACCTTTTAGATTCAGAAGTACATCTATAAGGTTTATTCCCCAAAACAACAAATTGTGGTGAACTGAGAGCAGTTTATCCAACCAAGCAACAGCTATTATATCTTGGACATTTTAGACTAAAATTTGTAAGTCTAAAATTTGTAATTTGGTTTGTAATTTTCTACCATTGGAATTTAGTGAATATACCCATAGATTTATTTATTTTTTTAGAGAGCTTAGCTCTCTAAAAAATGTTTCCACATTGCAGTCAGTGAAATGAGAAATCAAATGTACAATATTAATATTATTTATAAAGCGCCAACTAATTCCACAGTGCTGTACAATAGGTGGACTAACAAACAAGTTGCAACAAAAACCAAGCTGGATGTTCAGGAACAGAAGGTGCTGAGGTCCCTTCTTGAACGAGCTTAAAGTCTAAGGGGAGTGGGGTAAAATAACACAAGAGGTAACATTCTAGGGTTCTTTATTTGTGGAAAATGCTTGTTTGTGGAAGGGTAAAATGCTGATAACATCTAGACAATAGGACCCATCTGAGTAAGGTTTAGAAGAGGTTTGGAAGGTTTGCAACAGTATATGTTGTTTGCAAGTTAATAGTTACAATAATCATGGATAAAACAGCAAGCAGACCAATGTTTAGCTTTATTTTTGGAGAATGCACTCATGCCAAGAGCTGATGAGATGGTTTGGAAAGGAGGGTGTAGTGAAATCATTGTGTATGGAAAGCAACACAAATTTACAAAAAATTAGTTTGGGAAATCCAAAGGGAACTATGCTGAACTAAAGTCTGAACTAATAAACCAGTAACTATCCAAATAATTGATTATATATTACAAATATATTTCCACATTATTTCATAACAGTTTTACAATAGATAGCATCTCCACTCAACCCAACTGGGGAGGACCTATAAAATCTTCATGTAGGACATTTACAGTGAGGGAACAAAGTATTTGATCCCCTGCTGATTTTGTACATTTGTCCACTGACAAAGAAATGATCAGTCTATAATTTTATTGGTAGATGTATTTTAACAGTGAGAGACAGAATCACACAAAAAAAATCTAGAAAAACGCATGTCAAAAAAGTTATAAATTGATTTGCATGTTAATGAGTGAAATAAGTATTTGATCCTCTATCAATCAGCAAGATTTCTGGCTCCCAGGTGTCTTTTATACAATTAACAAGCTGAGATTATGACCGCTCTCTTAAAGACACCTTTCCACAGAAGCAATCAATCAATCAGATTCCAAACTCTCCACCATGGCCAAGACCAAAGAGCTGTCCAAGGATGTCAAGGACCAAATTTAGACCTACACAAGGCTGGAATGGGCTACAAGACCATCGCCAAGCAGCTTGGTGAGAAGGTGACAACGGTTGGTGCGATTATTCACAAATGGAAGTAACACAAAATAACTGTCAGTCTCCCTCGGTCTGGTGCTCCATGCAAGTTCTCACCTCGTAGAGTTTCAATGATTATGAGAACATCGAGGAATCAGCCCAGAACTACACGGGAGGATCTTGTTAATGATCTCAAGGCAGCTGGGACCATAGTCACCAAGAAAACAATTGACAAAACACTACGCCGTGAAGGACTGAAATCATGCAGCGCCCACGAGGTCCCCCTGCTCAAGAAAGCACATGTACAGGCCCGTCTGAAGTTAGCCAATGAACATCCGAATGATTCAGAGGAGAACTGGGTAAAAGTGTTGTGGTCAGGTGAGACCAAAATCGAGCTCTTTGACATCAACTCGCAGTGTTTGGAGGAAGAGGAATGCTGCCTATGACCTCAAGAACACCATCCCCACCGTCAAACATTCAGATGGGTGTGTTTTTCCGCTAAGGGGATAGGTCAACTGAACCGCATCAAAGGGACGATGGACAGGGCCATGTACTGTGAAATCTTGAGTGAGAACCTCCTTCCCTCGGCCAGGGTATTGAAAATGAGCCGTGGATGGGTATTCCAGCATGACAATGATCCAATACACACAGCCAAGAGCAACAAAGGAGTGGCTCAAGAAGAAGCACATTAAGGTCCTGGTGTGGCCTAGCCAGTCTCCAGAACTTAATCCCATAGAAAATCTGTGGAAGGAGCTGAAGGTTCGAGTTGCCAAATGTCAACCTCAAAACTTTAATGACTTGGAGAGGATCTGCAAAGAGGAGTTGGACAAAATCCCTCCTGAGATGTGTGCAAACCTGGTGGCCAACTACAAGAAACGTCTGACCTCTTTGACTGCCAACAAGGGTTTTTCCACCAAGTACTAAGTCGAAAGGGGTCAAATACTTATTTCACTCACTGACATGCAAATCAATTGATAACTTTTTTGACCTGGGTTTTTCCGGATTTTTTTTTTTTGTCATTCTGTCTCTCACTGTTAAATTACACCTACCATTAAAACTATAGACTGATCATTTCTTTGTCAGTGGGCAAATGTTCAAAATCAAAGGGGATCAAATACTTTTTTCACTCATGGTATCCTACTGACTGTTTTTCTCTTGTCTTTCATTCGGTTTGACAGTCAGTTAACTAATACATTTCTTTAATGGCTTGCATGAGAAGGGGGTTATCTCTATATTATCTTTATCTTCTACAGGAGATCAGCTTCTCTTCCCATAGAAAAGAAACAAAGCAACCCGAGCGCCACAATAACTACTGTACATTAATAATTACCAGCTTGGGTGAAGTATTCACATGGGAAGAAAAAAGAAAGCAAAAAATCTTAACAGAATCTTTATTAAACATAAACTTATAGTACAATAGACATACACATAAACATGGAGAAGTGGCAAGTGGTAAAATAATAGTGCAAAAGTGCATGCTGCCCAATGACAGAAAAATATCACCCAGTCCTCTAGATGCAGTTTAGTCCACACAATGCAATATTCTTTTGGGCCCAAATACTGAAACTTCACTGCTGCTATTGGACCTCTGTGTTCACTGTCCACCCCGCCTGTCCTCTGCTCAGCTCAACGCGTTTTGTCTTAGGTGACTTCTTTTAAAATTTTGATTTTTTTTTTAATATATATTATTATGATATATTTATCAATATTTTATTATTTTGAAAAAAAATACATTTAAAAGTTTATCCAATAATTTTAAATCAAGGCCTATATCTGAAGAAATTACCTTCTTAGTTCATGACCATAAACATGACCTAATTATGTACAAATTATGTAAATTTTAAGAACTAATTTTACTACTGTATCCATTCATGAGTTTTCACACAAAATGTGACAAAATCCTTCGGTATGCTAAATGGCCACCAGATTTCTCCATGATTCAGCAGGCAGTTACTGCTCACATTAAAAATTATATCCTAAAATATTCTGGTTTTCCAAAAGCATAGCTAGACATTGTTTAAAAATATGTGAACCAACCTCTTTAGGCAGAGAATTCCTCATCAGTGTTGTTCTTACTGTAAAACAACCTTCCCTGTGATGTAAGCAAAATCTCCTTTCTTCATGTTGAAATGGGTGACCTCTTATCTTACGTATAGTTCTGTTAATGAGCAGGTTGATATATTTTTAAATTGTTATATTTCCCTTCTGAGATGCCTTTTTTTTTAAACATGTTCAAGTTTTCTAGCTATTTTCAAATAAATCTTCCATTCACCTTATTAATTTTGTTACTGGGACTTTTGTACTTCCATAATATCCTTCTTTAGCCCAATCTGCACTGTGACAAACTCCCCTTCCCATGTAAGTTTGCCACGAGCTCCTGGAGGAGCCTGCTGCCCAAACACTATGGGCCCTGCAGTGAAATCTGTAAAAGACCACCGAACTTGACCAACCGTTAGCACTGATTTCATGGAACTGTTTTGGGCATAGGACCATGTGCGCGGTCCATCAAATAATTGACTTCCATGGAAGTCTCGAACCCTTGAACCGATCTGGGTGATTTTTGGATATGTTGGTCACCCAGATTGGGGCTATCTTTTGATGTAACTTTTGTGGGTTTTTTATGTGTTTAAAAGGTATTTTGGGGGTTTTGTAATATTGTATGTTTTTCTGTGCCTGAAGATTATTGAGTTAGTTCAGTTCCTGACCCAATTATTTCTCAGACACAGAAGAGGAGTTTGTAACTTGTAACTAGTCCCCTCTCAGGTCCAGGAGAGGGATTACCCTGTTTTGTGTGGGAGAGTCCTGGATCTGAGAGCCAATGTAATTACAGTGTGTACTTTGTCATAGTCCCCTTTCAGGTCCAGTGGGGAATGCTCCTGGAATATGTCATGGAAAACCCCTTACATGGGGATTTGCATATGAGGCCAGTTGTGGCTGCCATTAAACAGTTCCTCTTCACCCTCAACATAGAGCCTCGTCTCATGTGTGGAGGGGACAGCAATATTCACTCTGGGGATTGCTATAATCACTATACTCCCTTCGATTACAACACTTGCTCTTGTAAGAGCAGCCTGCTTTACTCTCTGGACTAGGAGAGGTCTACCCACTGAAAGCTGGATCCTGGTCTTGTGTCCAGGGTGGGTGAAGGACAGCGAGACCCCAACCAAACTGCGGTGGTTTGTGGGGTTTACGGTGGTTATGGTGTCTGGTGCGGTGCTTATAGTACTCAATGATTACTAGGAAGCAGTGATTGGTGGAGGCACCCAGTCGGGGTGCCAAGCAGTCCGTCACATTGGTTGGCAGCGGTGGGATGGCTTCCTAGCCTTGGGGGAACATCAGAACACCCCTGGGACTCCTGCACATCTTCTAGAGTGGAACAAACATGGCGCCCAGTTACACTGATGCAGAGTTTGACAGAGAGTTTAAGGGGCTGCTGGCTTCCTATGGACCCAACCTCTCTGAGAAAAGCATGCAGCACAAAGCAGAGCTGGCAAGCGAGTTGGCACATTGGGAGAGACCTCAATGACAGTGTGCAGTCCAGGGAGAGAAGCGTGTCGCCCTTCCTCCCCAGTGGCAGAGTGTGTTACAGGGAGTGGAGACAACTGGTCTCACCCCCCAGCGTCAGTGTTCAGTCCAGGGAGAGAAGCATGTCGCCCTTCCTCCCCAGCGGCAGAGTGCGTTATTGGGAGAAGAGACGGTCAGTCTCTCTCCCCAGCAGCAGTGTATCATGCAGGGAGAGGAGACAAACTGTCTCTTTCCCCAGCGGCAGCCAGAGTTACAGGGAGAGAAGTGTGTCAGCCTTTCTCCACACCGGCAGAGTGCGTTATTGGGAGAAGAGACGGTCGTTCTCTCTCCCCAGTAGCAGCTGGAGACACCTTGGGAGGGATCAGTCGGTCCCCCTCCCCAACCACAGGGAAAGATACAGGGTGTGGAGACGATCGGTCCCACTCTGACAGGAAGTGCTCACTGAGAGAGTACTTCCTTTCAGTCCAGCCGGGTACAAGAAACAGAACTCTTGTAACATGGTCCGCGCCACCAGGCCACGCTACACTGAGTGACAGGTAGGAGGGAGCGCTGTGCGCTTCCCTTCTACCAGGTCACTCAAACTTGGTGCCCCCCCGGGCCAGTGCACTCTAGGCAACTGCCTAAGTACTGGGTAATTATTTTGGTGAAATTTGGTTCTGACTAATTTTGTCTTCAGAGGTCGGTTAGTTGTATGTTGTTCCTTTAAAAACTAACATGTCAAAGCACTTACTGTCAGATCTCAATCATGTATGGAAGACACGTACTGCTAATTAAAAGACCACTATAGGCACCCAGACCACTTCAGCTCAATTAAGTGGTCTGGGTATCAGGTCCATCTAGGGTTAACCCTGCCTGTTGTAAACATAGCAGTTTACTTTAGGGTTAATCCAGCCTCTAGTGGCTGTCTCATTGACAGCCGCTAGAGGCGCTTCCGTGCTTCTCACTGTGATTTTCACAGTGAGAAGATGCCAGCGTCCATAGGAAAGCATTGAGAAAGGGTTTTTCCAAGCACCATGTTCAGTGGTCAAGTGGTCATGGTGCCTTAAGTCTGTAAATGCAGCGTTTTTATTATTATTTAATGCTGCACATAGCGTGTTTCACCCCTTTGCTGCCATAACTGTAGCTCTTCTTCCAGCAGTTCTGTGTGGCAAATTCATATTTCTATGTACAGAGCAGCATTCATTGACTGAGAGTGGTCAGCTGATGCACTCAACCAATGAATGGCCAGCAGAATAGGCATCTGGCTTTTGCAGCTCTGCAGAAGCAGGACGCACGTCACCGCCATAGAGCACCTTCGACACCCAGTGGCAACCTAGGAAGAGGGCAAACAGCGCCATCATAATAACTACAGTGGACTGCAGTGGTTATGGTGCTTTAAACTGCTCTACGATTAGATTTTTCATTATTTTCTCCATACCTGTGTATAGTTGGATTAATGTATGTGTTAATCACTTAAATAATACCACAGTGCCAAATGGTAAAAAAGTGAGAACACTTTTAGAATACTTTTGTCTATTGTGAAATAGTTGTAATATCTTTATGTCTGTCTGTTCTCTGTGCTTACCTTGAATCCAGGAAGATGAGTTTCAGATCCAGGCTTGCTCTGAACATGAACATATTACTGTGGAGTTTGATCTCTGTTATTGCACTTGGGGGTAAGGACTGTCCAACAGCTACGAGCCCTACAATTTGATAGCAGGAGTCATATAAAGAAATGTCCAGCATATACTGCCTTATTTTCAGATACCCACTGCAGTGAATCACCTGTCATACAAAGATAAGACATAACACAGACACACTAAACATAACGGAACACTGGCATTTTGTAACAAAGTATCACCCCAATCAGGACTACGTCCTACATATTGGGGCAGAGGTAGGCAATTAAATTTGTTGCAGTGCTTCATGAACATTCATAAAAATGTATCTCAGCTGAAATCATTATATCTTTATTACAACATCTGTTTATTGTTATTATTATTATTATTTATATATTTTTTTTCATTATTCATGTTTGAGAAATGACTATTACCGTACATCCATGGTTAGGCGTTGCTGTTATGTTGCCACAATCTATGAGTAAAATGGACTCACCAGGTACACACGTCCATATACCCCTTGTTTCCAGTCATTTCCAGAGACCTTTGCAATATATCGTTCTTCCCCAGAACCCTGTGCTTCCTCTTCCTCCCTGTAGAGTAGGGACAACCAAAGACAGATACCCAGCTGTTGTTGACCTACATCATCCATGAAGCTTTGCTAGCCTTAAGATTAGCAAAGCATTGTGGGATTTTTCGTTCTACAAAAGCTGGAGATCTGCTTTTGTCCGCCCCTGCTTTAGAGTGTTGTGCTGTCAATCTATGAAGGGCAGGGGAAGGCAAGCTTCACATGTTCTGGACTACATCTCCCATAATGCTTACAGCCATATTGCTGGCAACACATTAGAGGAGATGTAGTCCAGGCCAAAAGCTGCCTGCCTTTGTTGTAAGGTCTCTTATTTCTCCTGCAGAGCCTTACATAGCCTCTCTTCCACTGTAAAGCCTTGCACAGCCTGACTGTTGTCTCCTTGGAAAATCAGAGAATCATACTCCATATATTCCATAACTGGAACCCCTTGATACCACAGTAGTCACAATTTAGCAATGCAAGTGGGGGCTGGGGGGCTAATGGGGGGAGGATTTTGTAACTTTACTAAATTACAGTCCAACATAAAATCGAAAGTCGTCAAACCAAAATATAGCCCCACAGTATAGCATCATGTAACTCAATGTTGAAATTAGGTTCATACCTCCTTACAAACACTGTCTTTGTTATGCCTCTGCTTCAATAAATCCAGAGATCAAAGTGAATATAGATACAATCATTTGGCTTTATCCCTTACTAAACTCTAGGATTCATAACTCCAATAACCATTTGCAGTAATCTCTATATACCATGGATAAAATAGGCAGGGATCCAATGTAACGTGTTTCGGATATTGAAAAAGTATTGCTTAAATCGTAACGCGTACATTTGGTTCCTACCTGTTTTTTCTGCACTGTACAGAGCTCACTGCGAGTGATTATCAGAGTTAGTAAAACTAGAGTTTCCACAAGTGGAGAATTAAGAAATGTAATTATATCTGGATTTATTTTATTTGCAGGATTTGTTGAAGCGGAGCTGTGGCAAGCGAGTGTTGGCATTATTCTGTATCTCTCCCAGTGTAGAGCCTTGTGCTGGTTCTTTGACTCCAGACATTCAAATGTTGCCTCCCCCCTTTCATGCTCCTGATCGGCATCTTTCCCCCTGCTGCTGCCCATGTATCTCCTTTAAACTTTACCCCCCTTAAGAGCCTTGCTGTTCCTCTTCATCTATACATAGCATAGCCTTGTGCTGTCTCTGTCCCCATCAGACTCATGTCAAACCTCTTTAACTATTATAGAGCATCGTACTCAATCATTATCTCCAGTAAACCCTTCTAATGCCTCTTAATTCCTTGTGTAGAGTCTCAGGCTCCCCCCAGGACTGTTTGGAAATAAAAAAAACAAGAGTATAATGCAAACAATACAAAAGGGAGAATACTTCCTGCAGAGTGCTCCAGAAAGGGAGCCAATCCCTGAAGACATCAAATGGAAGAAAAGGAATATCCAGGCACACCTGAGGTTTCTTCTAAATGGCAGGCTTTTATTTGGAACAAGTAAGTGGAGACAGCGTTTCGGCTCCTCTCTGAGCCTTTATTAAGTCTTGATACAGGCTCAGAGAGGAGCCGAAACGTTGTCTCCACTTTCTTGTTCCAAATAAAAATACTGCTTTTTAGAAGAAACCTCGGGTGTGCGTGAATATTTGTTCCCCCCCCCAAAAGTCTTGTGATTCAACATTCTCCTATATAGAGCTTTGTATACATCTCCCCAAAGAGCCACACAGGGCCGGCTCTTCCTATTGACGACTTAGGCAGTTGCCTAGGGTGCAGCTTTGAAGGAGGCGCCCTGCGTTGCCAGCGCGGCGCCCCTCATGCTGCAGCTGCCTTCAGGCAGCACAGCCAGGGCCGGCGCGTCCTCTAGGGTGCACCGGCTCTGGAGGCACAAGATACGAGTGACCAAGCAGGCAGGGCCGGACTGGGAATTTCAAAGCAGCCCCATAAGTCCTTGTGCCACGAAATGTGTATGTGTACCTATATGTGTATACACACACTCACTACAGACACAGTATTTGAACCCTACCTGGCACTGGAGGCTGTGGGAGATAAAGTTTTCTCTGGGAGGCCATTTTCAGACCTCTTCCTGCAGCAAGGTCCACTGCTTGAGTGCGGGAGGCGGAGCTTCCCAACAGGTGGAGCTTCCATGTGGGGCGGAGCTTCCATGCTGGGCCGGGGCAAAAGTGCTAAGGAAGGTGCTGGGAATGAGGAAGGGAGACACAGTGCTCCCTACGGCCGTCAGCAGCCTTAATGCGGCCGCACCAGCCCCCAGCACCTGCCTCCTGAATTCCCTTGGACTAACAGAAGCTGTCACAGTTCGAGGGAAATTTTTTTTAAATTAAACATAAGTGTTACCTGCCGGTCCCAGGTGCCATGGCCCACCGGGAAAATTCCCGGTATCCCAGTGGGCCAGTTCCGGCGCTGCCAGCAGAAGGGAAGCGCACAGCACCCCCTCCTGCCAGTCACTCAGTGTAGCATGGTCTTGTGGCGCGGACCGCGGTATAGGAGCTTCCTGTACCCGGCCAGACTTACAGGAAGTGCTCTCTCTCAGTGAGCATTTCCTGTCAGTCCGGCCAGGTACAGGAAGCAAAAGCTCATGTACTGCGGTCTGCGCCGCCTGGCCACGCTACACAGAGAGCTAGGAGGCACACAAGGGAAGGGGAGAGGAGAGATTCTACCAGAGGATTGGGGGAGAGGGAGAGACCACCAGGGAAGGGGGAGGAGAGGGTTAGACTACCAGGGAAGGGGGGAGAGCACCAGGGAAGGGGAGAGAGCACCTGGGAGGGAGAGGACGGAAGGTGGGGAAGAGGGAGAGAGCACCAGGGAAGGGGAGAGAGCACCAGGGAAGGGGGAGAGAGCACGGGGAAGGGGAGAGAGCACCGGGAAGGGGGGGGAGAGAGCACCAGGGAAGGGGGGAAAGAGACCACCAGCAGAGGAGGGGAGAGAGAGAAACCACCAGGGGGAAGAGGGAAAGACCACCAGGGGAGGGGGAGGAAAGGGTGAGACCACCAGGGAAGGGAGAATGAGACTACCAGGGGAGGGAGAGAAAGAGAACACCAGGGGAGGGGGGGAGAGAGAGACAACTTGGAGGGGAGAGACCACCATGGTGGATGGGAGAGAGAATCCACCAGGGGGAAGAGGGAGAAACCACCAGGGGAGTGGGGAGGAGAGAGAGACCACCGGGGGTAGAGACCACCAGGGGAGGGGGGGAGGGCGAAAGAGTATGATGTTGGCAGCGCTCCCTTATTTAAGTAATGGTATTAAACACTATGTGTGCATTTCTCACATACACAGAAACATAGAATACATCCTTACTCACACACCGACACATACAGTGAATCCTACACACACACACACAGAAACACACCATGTTTCCCTTACACACTCACTCTTACACACAATGCATCCATTACACACACACAATGCATCCCTCACACACACACACACACACACATACACACACACACACCCACCCACAAAGCAGTCCTTTCACACACAATGCATCCCTTACATACAAAAACACACAATGCTTCCATTACGCACACACAAACACACACTGCATCCCTTACATACACAGAAACACACTTTGCATCCCTTATGCATACAAACACAGACTCACACACTGCATCCCCTATACACACACACACATACACACTACACAAGCTGGTATTCCTATACACTACATTCCATAAGAATACACACACATTACATCCTCTTCAATAACACACAACATATCCCCTACAAACATACACTCCACTCCCTGTGAGTGTGGGCCATGTAGGAGGGCCTTGTAGGCATACTCATGGTCAGGCCCTGGGGGCCCAGACCTTGAGCTGCGTAAGGGCTCAAAAAAATGGAGCTGCTTCCTGTTTGTTGATTTTTGTGAGCAGAGTTACAAACATCCTCCAGAGAGCCTCTTCTACGCCAGAAGAGTGGAGCAAGACTGCAGCCTGAGTCAATCATCATCCTCTTGTTTCATCTGGTAGTAAGTAGGCAATCCAGTATATCATATTCTCACTAATCTCTAAATTACATTAAAGGGACACTATAGTCACCAGAACCACTACAGCTTAATTTAGTGGATCTAGTGTCTATAGCCTGCCCCTGATGCTTTTTAATGTAAACACACTGCCTTTTCAGAGAAAAGACACTGTGTGCAGCACTGGCGTTGGCTCATATGGCAGATCATATTGGTGGGGCATTGTGATGTGGGGGGCGGCAAATTTTTGTTTGCCTAGGGCGGCAGAAATCCTTGCACTTGCCCGGTAGCCAAATGTTACCTCCCCTTCCCCACTTTGCACCCTTAGAAAGAGGCTTATTTTAAATAATAAAGTTAATTAGTGTTAATAATAATTTTTTGAGTAATAATAAAAAGCAATGTTCTAGTTTTTGCTTTCATTAGCAAGTATTTATAGTGGCACGTTAATAAACAAACTCGCTGGCTCTTGTACTTTATTTACCCAAGGTAGGAAGATATCAAGTAAGCATTGGTCTGGGAAGCATTCCTGTGGAATGCATTATAGCTCAGATTAATCATTGCTAGGATCATGTGCTATTTCATTCTATTTTCACTTTTAAATAGAATGTCCGTCTCATGTTTCAGCTGAGAATAAGATATTTGCCACAGAATTATCCAAGTATGATGTTGGCAGCTCTCCCTTATCTAAGTAATGGTATTTAACACTGTGTGCGCATTTCTCAACCCTGTCAACTTCAAATATCGAAAATAATATATGTTTTTACTCCATACAAAGGACACAAATAGATCACAACATGACAACTGTGTCCCTCCGCTCCTAAACCTTCAGAGCTCTGTAAGATTTCTGTGCAGTAAATAATGCATTATTCTCATGCAAATAAGGAAATTGTGGCTAAAATTGAATTTTTGCTTGGGTACAATAATTTTAGTAAGTGTTGTTGAGTTTATTGAGAAGGTAGAATTAAACAATGACCCGTTATATAGCAAACGGATGTAAATAATTCAGTGTTAGCTGTATGACCATAATAGCATAGAACTCGAGAATCAATTAAATATAAGACAATCTAGTTAAAAACAATCTATGCAGGTAATGGGCAGCATCTAAGTTCAGCTTAAAAGATCCCTGCTGGTAGAAGCGTTGTTTAAATCTCAGGGTAATTCTGTCTAATTGCTGGATACTCCATGTTGTTTGGTTTAATTTCCCTAGCTTGTCTAGTAGACTTTCATGTATTTAATTAATTTCTTAACGGTAGTGGATGCATGGAATAGCCTTCCAGCGGAAGTGGTAGAGGTTAACACAGTGAGGGAGTTTAAGCATGCGTGGGATAGGCATAAGGCTATCCTAACTATAAGATAACGCCAGGGACTTATTAAAAGTATTTAAAAATATTGGGCAGACTAGATGGGCCAAATGGTTCTTATCTGCCGTCACATGCTATGTTTCTATGTAAAAGCAATGCAAAAACTAAATTTGGCCGCTCAAACTACATTTAATTACCCCCAGTGTCTCCTCTGTCAGGGCTTCATTAAGCCTCTCTGCATTTATGCAGAGGGACTGTAAATATCAACCACCATCCCTCTTCCTACAATGCTGTATCCTAGCAGAAGGCATAGTGCCCATTGGGCCCAAATGCAAGCATTATTTGTACATTCTATATGAGTTGTAAAAGATGCATTCCAAATGACCAAATTTAAACAGTATATTTCAGCCTAAATTTAGAAAGTCTGTTTTCTACTGACTGCAGTTTGCTGTTTAATGAATAATCCCCTATGACTCTTAGTAAGAAATAAAAGACGATTCTTACCTTGTAGCCGCTACATGTGAGCCCTGCATTTCTTTTGGCAAGAACGCATTTCATCCGTAGGAAGAATGATCTCTCGATCTCGTATTCTGATGGAATAATAGAAGTGGATATACCAGTAAAGTTTTCAGTCAGACAGGTTTGATATGTGTTGGACAAAATCCTGCTAATGGACAGTGTTACAGTTGTGATTGACAACAGATGTCTGGATTTAATATATTGGAGATAGATTGAATGCAAAATATATTGTTCAGATTTCCATGTTAAGGCATAGAAAATTAAGTAAAACAACCAATATTAATTTTTTTTTTAAAATTCTGCAATTTCATGCCAGCGTATAGTTACCTTAAATTAATAATTTAAGCACCATAACTACTGCAGCTCATTAATTTGTATGGTGCAAAATGTCTTTGAGTCAAACTGTTATTGACTTTTCAGTTTGATAATCACCCTTGCTCTCCCCGGGCGTAAAGTCTGGCTTGTCTTCTGCAGATTAACCCTAGCTGTCGATCTACTGAAAGCTCATTGGTAATGCATTAGGCATAGAGGCAAGAGAAAACCTTGCTTTAGGTTTTGTTAAGTTTGACACAAGCTTGGGAGATACAGAAAGGGACTGCACAGTATCTAAAACCAGTCCCTCTCCGACCTTTCGATTAATGATGAATCAGGGGTCTTCCTCATTAGACCTTCAAACTTAGAATGACAATATTAGGCTAAGAGAGCAAGAGCTAAGCTGCAGTAGACAAGCCAAACTTTATTCAAGAAAACATTAAAAAATAACTTAATAAATAATTAACACTAGAATTATAATAATAGTTTAGAGAATTATAGTTAGGACTAAGCCCGAAGGGAAAGCTATGCTGAACCTCCACTGACAAGCTTTCAGATATATATTACATATATTGGGTATAGTTGGTATAACTATAAATAATGTCACAGAACTCTACACTAGGTGATACAGTACAAAGCATCACAGTCACATTTTATCAGCTATAAAATATTAAGCTGGCCTTCTGGTTCTCATTGCAGGTGAGCTAGCACTCAGTATAACCCTCTTTCCCGGACAGTCCAGTGAACCAATCTCAGGTTATCAGGTGTCTATAAACCCAGTGTGGTGTCTGCATTTATGGGGTACAGGGCACAAACCAGTCATGGTATGCTATTTTGGTAATATGCTATTTTGGTGATATGCCATTTTTGTGTCATAGGCAAGACCAGCTACTTGCATCTCTACCCAAAACAATAACTAAGAGCTTTGTGTGTCACTACCCTTCCCCAGCCCCTAGTGTCATTTTCCCCTAGCACCTTTGTGTGTGTCTTACTCTACCTAGCACCTATGTGTGTCTCTCCTCCCCCCCATCCATTTGCAAGTCTTTTTATCCTGTATCCTCTACCCCGTCAACAGGGAGTGCTCGCCGGGAGTGCTCGAGCTTTCTGTCAGATCGAGTAAAGGATACAGAAGTTCCCCTACCGCTGTCCACTTTTCAACGCTACAAGGAGGTAATCGAGCATGCAAAGGGGGAGAGGGTTGAGAAGGGATGGGGGTGACAAAAAATGACATAGAGGGGCTGGGGTGGACAAGAAGGCAGACAGAAGAGCATGGACAATGACACACGAAGAAGGGCTGTGGTGACACACAAAGGGGTTGGGGGGACAAAGACACACAGAGGGGCCTGCTTTTTAACTTAAGCACTGGAGTCATAGCAGTCTGTTAGTGAAAATGGTCTTGGTGGCACAGGGCGTAAGAAAGGCAAGTCCAAGGGGCCCTGATCTGTCTAAGTTGGCCATGGTAGCTGGAAGGCAGAGGGGTGAATGTTTTCAACATCATCACATCCACATATCCCCCACCCAACATTGACTGTGCTCTTATAATGAATGCTGTTACCTTAAGAAAGGTCTCTATACAGTGTGAGGTCAGTGACTGTCTGAGTCTGTGCTCATTATACATGCAGCATGCGTCTCGTTATGCCCCCTAGCTAGGTTACCGGATACCTTATAACAAATCAGCACTTTGTGGGATAAAGGGATTAAATTCTTCTACATGTATATTTCATTAGTTATTTATTTTGTAAAGTGAAGCTCTCTAAATCCAGTGTACTTTTTTCCACTGATGGGGGATTAAGTGGAGATTTGTACGTAAAGCTGACTCCTGTATTCACTGCTGCCATTTTGTTCTCTGAAGTTCATAGTTGTCATTTTTAATATTCTCCTTATTCTCTGATTGCAGCCGGGGGATGTAGATTAACTAAACACGGTGTGGAATATCACATTTTTCCATTAAGCAGCGCTGCCAAACCTGGCTTACATTAAAGGTATTGCACCACGAGCGTCGATATTATCTAGGACGAGTAAAATGAGCAAAATTCGACCATAATTGTGGCTGAAAATACTGGATCATCACTTTTATGAAGCTGTTGGAACTTCTGGTAGACAAAGCCCTTTAAACCTTTCAATACCAATAATTACTGATTACCCAGAATGCACTTTAAGAAAAATATGTATTTACACCTTTCTGCCAAATTGTACAACAAAACATAACTACATAATGCTATTGGTGTAATTATAATAAAAAAATAAATTACATTTAAATTAGTATTTACAGACCGAAAACAAGATACAATGGAAAAATTGAGAAATTAACACCATTTATTTGTTGAGTGATGCGGAGCAGATTTTGATGATTAGGAAACATTGCAACGCAACTATTGCCATAGTCTGGCTATATTTGTCTAGATTTTCAGGCTTATCCACTTAATAGATGAACAAAATCTGGTCAAAATGATTAAATTCCTACTGCATTGGTAATTTTCATACTTATTAAATCCAATAAGGGATGGAATTCAGTTGCCCGAGTGAATCTGCAACAATTGCCAAGTTACATTCGATGTCGGTATTAAAATAAAAAGCCTCAGGGTTAATCATGTAGATTCTGGCAAATGCTAGCCAGCTACCACATGAAAGTTATAAAAACCCTATGGGGGCAGGGCCGGTGAAATGCTATTTTGCATCCTAGGCAAGACCAACTACTTGCACCCCCCTAAAACAAAAATCAAGAGCTTTTTCTCCTTCCACAGACTGTGTCTCTCCCCCTCTCCTACCCCCCAGCCCATTTGTCCTGTATCCTCTACCTGGTCTGACAGGAAGTGCTCGCTGAGAGAGCCAAACAGCTTCCTGTCAGATCAAGTAAAGGATACATAATATCCTCTACCACTGTCTGCTCGGCCACACAAGGAGGTAATCTAGCACGCAAAGAGGGAGAGGGAGGAGAGACCACAAAGGGATGGGGAGACAAAGAGGCACATAAAGGGGCTGGGGAACAATAATGCAGACAGAGGGGCTGTGGACAATGACACACAAAGAGGGGCTGGGGGTCAAAGAGGCAAACAGAGGGGCTGGAGGTGAGAAAGAGAAATAAAGAGGAGCAAGAGACACACTGAGGGGCTGGGGAAGTGAAGAAAGATGGGGGCTAAGGAGAAGAAACACGCAGAAGGGCTGGGGAAGGGGAGAAAGAGACACACAAGGTCTGGGAGGGCAAAAGGGCAAAAAGAGGGGCTGGGAAGACAAGTCCCTGAACGACATCTGACATATGACGACGGACCAATAGACCTCACTACCCCAAAGAGAATGAGGCTTAAGGGTGATAAGGTAATACTAGAGGATCACATAAAACAGACGCAAGGCACAAACTTATGAATATCCCTCTATTCAAGCTGCATTCCGATCACTCATATGTATGTCTTAACGTGTTAAACGTGACCAAATGTCATATAGAAATACTATGTAACATTGTTTGAGTGTTGTCTGCACACTTAATGTTGGGACCTGCGAGTCCGTTATTTGTTATTTACTTGTTCAATCAACTGATACTTGCTAATGTACACGGATCAGGGCATACCCTGAAATGCTTATGTTTGAATAAAGCCTTTTTTGAGATTCTAAAAAAGAGGGGCTGGGGAAAGGAAGAAAGAGACACACACAGGGACAAGGGAAGGAGAGAAAGAGACAAGGTGTGGGTTAGACACATAGAGGAGTGGAGGAAGGGAAAATAGGAGACACAAAGGTACTAGGAGGGAGTAAGAGACACACAAAGTGGCTGAGGGAAGTAATAGACACACAAAGGGGCTGGGGGGAGTAAGACACAAAAAGGGGCTGGGGAAGTAAAAAACACAAAACAGCTAGGGGAAAGTAAGAGCCACACAAGAGGGCTGGGGGAAATTATGAGACACACAAAGGTACTGTGGGAAGTAAGATATACACAAAGGGGCTGGGGAGTAAGATACACTGAAAGGGGTAAGACATTCAAAAGGAGAGATAAGAACTACAAGAGGTGGTAAGAAATTTAAAAGGAGGATTAAAAGACCAACAAGTGAAGATGTATAGGGGTGAGCAGTAAAATGCATCTTCGTCTATGTAGCCAAAAATCCTTGCACCAGACCTGCTAACCACTGAGAGGTTGGGGGTATGGAAGGGGGTGGCCATGTCAATAATTGGGGTGGGGAAATTATTTATAGCTTCCAGGTGTCATCCATGTGTGGGGCCTGGGGTGGACACTAGATCCACCCTTGAATATTATAATTAGGGCCATTACCTGTCACCACTATGTGTGGGGCCCATTCGGGATTTTGCAGTCCAAATTGCCCCAGACTTTATTAAATAACCACTTTCGTCATTTGCATTTCAATTTACTACAATTCAGAGTTTAGTGAATAAATCCCTAAATGTAACAGTTTATAAATCTTTATAAATAGTGTTAAAATATCCTTAGCCACTAATCCATTGTAAAAATGGATTAAAATGGATTAAAAATTCCAAACTTCCCCTGCTACCTTTTGTCTCAAATCCCCCTGGTATCCTTTAGATTGTAAGCTCAAGGGCCATCTAGCTAAGCACTTTGTATAAAGAGCTCCAATGGCTAGATATCAGCTTACGGGCAGGGCTCTCTTACCTCTTGTATTTGTTTGTGTATATTGTACGTTTCTCAACTAATTGTACAGCGCTGCGGAATCTGTGTGCGCTTTATAAATTGCAATAATAATAATAATAATAATAAAAAGTACCTGGGTAAATAATATTGCTATATGGGCAACGCTGAAATAAATGCAAATTCATTAATGACAGGATGAAAATAACACAATTTCAAAGAAATATAATTCCAGTTATGCAGTGGTGAAATAACAATGGCAATTAAAAGGCAGCTTAAACAGGCTAATCTGACTATTGCCTATTTAGAATCGCAGACATCAGCATGTTCTTATTGAATGATTGTCAATTAAATTAGACCAGTCGGCGTGTGCCCTGAAATTATTTTATATTACATATACTTTCCTAAACACTGGATTAAGGATTTCTGCATTCCGTTAATCTCTGCTCTGTATTAGTGTCTGTCCATACAGTCTGCTCTGGCTCGCTTCAATCAGCCACTCTATGATGACATCACATGTGTAAACAACAAGCTACAAGTGCTTCTGTAGAGATAAGAATTTAAACACATCACTCCGACTGAGCAGATCTCTTGGCCAGCTGACATGCGAGAACACAGCTGTTTCCTTGCTTGACGCCTGGAATGCATTTTGATGGTTAACACATCTGTCCAAGAATCTGTCTTTAAGGAATATCCAGAGAGTGAGGGGAAAAAAAACAAAAACCCAAAGCCAATGGTTTGATGTATTATGCTTGAAAATAAAAAATAAACTTTGACCAGAAAAACATCCTAGTAATTGAACTAGTAACGGAAAACAAAGTCAGACTTAACATGGCGCTTCCGATGTGACAACAGAGGCAGCAGAATAGCGAGTGTAGGACACCATGGCAGCCAAACGGCTAAATGTAGGAAGCGCTAGACATCTTAGGACCACAGGTGCAGATGGTTCCTGTCTCAGGAGGTCAATGAAAAGCTTTACTACTTTACATTTCAGGAGCTACAATGTTGCCTTAAACTGGTGATCTACAGCCTATGGCACCGGACATGTTTTTCAATCATATTTCCAATTTGTATCCTAGGAGATGTAGGTCACAAACATCTGGAGTTCATTGGTTAGACACTACTGCCTTAAAACATGATGGTGTCTCTCATAATATAGCCATCACCTTTAGCATTTGTAGAAGCTTTATTACTAGAATGTTGTGGTGAATCTGTTGCAAGTCAACACTGAAGGAAAAGGCTAATTCAAAGTTTACAAGGGGAAATGGAAAGAAATTCAGCGAATGACTTACAGCTGAGTTTGGCACACTGTACGTCACTTACAGAGCTATTCACACCGCATCGCTGTCTAACATTCGTTCTTACAACTAGACTTGTGCAAAAATGTGTTTGATCCATAAACAAATTTATTCATCCTAATCAAAATTCCTCTTCATTTACTCCCAAATGGATTGATACATCCAAAAAATAAATAAGTTCCCGAACGAATTGCTTCTTTCAGGCATGGATTAAAAGCATTTTGATTCAGACAAATTGATTAATTTATGGGATTTACTTGTCACTAATTATAATGCTACCTATCCATTCACCTTTGGATATCTCTTTTTACATCTCTCTCCTAGGTACTAGCAAAACCATTAACAGATTTCTATAACCAATCATTGTACAACGGTAGTAGTCCCAGAAGATTGGAAGTCAGCGAATGTTGTGCCCATTCACAAGAAAGGTAGTAGGGAGGAGTCGGGCAACTATAGGCCAGTAAGCCTTACTTCAGTAGTGGGGAAAGTGATGGAAACCATGTTAAAGGATAGGATTGTTGAACATCTAAAAACACATGGATTTCAAGATCAGAGACAACATGGGTTTACTTCAGGGAGATCATGCCAAACTAATCTTATTGATTTTTTTGATTGGGTAACTAAAATTATAGATCAGGGTGGTGCAGTAGACATTGCTTACCTAGATTTCAGTAAGGCTTTTGACACTGTTGCACATAGAAGGCTTATCAATAAACTGCAATCTTTAAGTTTGGATTCCAATATTGTTGAATGGGTAAGGCAGTGGCTGAGTGACAGGCAACAGAGGGTTGTAGTTAATGGAATATATTCGAAGCTTGGACTTGTCACCAGTGGGGTACCTCAGGGATCTATACTTGGACCCATTCTCTTTAATATTTTTATTAGTGATATTGCAGAAGGTCTTGATGGTAAGGTATGTCTTTTTGCTGATGATACTAAGATATGTAACAGGGTTGATGTTCCAGGAGGGATAAGCCAAATGGCAAATGATTTAGGTAAACTAGAAAAATGGTCAGAGTTGCGGCAACTGACATTTAATGTGGATAAGTGCAAGATAATGCATCTTGGATATAAAAACCCAAGGGAAGAGTACAAAATATTTGATACAGTACTAACCTCAACATCTGAGGAAAGGGATTTAGGAGTGATTATTTCTGATGACTTAAAGGTAGGCAGACAATGTAATAGAGCAGCAGGAAATGCTAGCAGAATGCTTGGTTGTATAGGGTATTAGCAGTAGAAAGAGGGAAGTGATCATGCCATTGTACAGAACACTGGTGAGACCTCACTTGGAGTATTGTACGCAGTACTGGAGACCGTATCTCTAGCAGGATATTGATACTTTAGAGAGAGTTCAGGGAAGGGCTACTAAACTGGTTCATGGATTGCAGGATAAAACTTACCAGGAAAGGTTAAAGGATCTTAACAAGTATAGCTTGAAGGAAAGACGGGACAGGGGGATATGATAGAAATGTTTAAATAGTTAAAGAGAATCAACACAGTAAAGGAGAACACTATATTTAAAAGAATAAATACTACCGCAATTAAGAGGACTATCTTAAATTAGAGGGCCAAAGGTTTAAAAATAATATCAGGAAGTATTACTTTACTGAGAGGGTAGTGGATACATGGAATAGTCTTCCAGCTGAAGTGGTAGAGGTTAACACAGTAAGGGAGTTTAAGCATGCGTGGGATAGGCATAAGGCTATCCTAACTATAAGATAAGGCTAGGGACTAATGAAAGTATTTACAAAATTGGGCAGACTAGATGGGCCAAATGGTTCTTATCTGCCATCACATTCTATGTTTCTATGTTTCCTTAATTTTTCTCATGACTAGCACCATACAGTGCCTTAAACAGTCTACATATTGAAAAATTGTTCTAAGTGAGACTTTATATGAGAACGTTTAGACTCAAATATAATTATTTTAAGATGACATTGCTTTTATGCGAAAAGAAAATATTTCAAAGACAAAGAATAAACAAAAATTAGCAGTTTGCAAAAATATTCAACCCCTCTCATCTGGAAGCTCTGTGTTTACACAGTTGAAAACAATTGCCCTTATAGAAATACAATTATGATTGGCCTCTACCTGTGAGACATTAAATGATTGATCATGGACCTGGATGGATAAAAGTCTCACTCTGGATAAGGATCATTGGGCAGCTTGCCGATCTGAAGGAAAGCTGTGACAATCAAGAAGAGTATTCTAGAGCAGAAAGAGGTCGAGTACTCGAACTACCTCATCTATGTAAAGCAAACAAACAGCACGTGTTTAGATATGCTGATTAGGAGTGTTGGATTAATTTTCCAGAAGTGGGAGATACATCACAACTCCCAGACACTGTCTAGAAAAGGTCACTGTCCTCAAAAACTCAGTAACCAGGAGTGGTGTGAATCCAATCATGATAGGGTCATTCCAGGAAGAGAATAAAATTAAGTCTAACCAAGTATTGCAAACAAAGGTTAAACGGCTGATCTGTTTATTAATGTTGCCATATGACTCATTCTAAAGTAAAGCATTGTGAGCATTGTGCAAAGACGTATGGGATCAAGACAGAGCTCCTGGCCACAATTCAAACTGCCACGTGTGTCACAAATGAAACACTGACCATACCTTAACAGCACTACTGGTGGTGATGGCAGAATCAGGTTGTGAGGGAGCTTTTGATTAGCAGGACCTGGGGATCTTGTGTGAACTGAAGTTAGAATGGATGGTCCAAAATCCCAGACAAACTAACTATACAATCACCTCAACAGTCTGCGAAACAGCTGGAACTTGGGAGAAAGTTCACCTTCCAGCAGGATAATGATCCCAAAAATAACTTCAATATGGCTGAAGAACAAAAACATGACTATCCTACAGTGGCCCAGGAAACGTCCCACTCTCCATCCTATTGAGAACCTGTGTCGCTATTTGAAAATTGCAGACCACGAGCAGCACCCACCCATGTGGGGTCAATATGCCAAGAGACCAGTAATACCGGGTAATAAATAAATAAGAGAATGGGCAAATATTACTCCCAGCCAGTGTACAAATCTGGTAGATAGTTACATCAAGATTTAAAGTTTTTAAAGCAAAAAAAGTATTTACTAAATATTAATATAAGGTGTTTGAATACTTGTGCAAGCAGCACATTTCAGTTTTAATTTACAGGGAGTGCAGAATTATTAGGCAAATGAGTATTTTGACCACATCATCCTCTTTATGCATGTTGTCTTACTCCAAGCTGTATAGGCTCGAAAGCCTACTACCAATTAAGCATATTAGGTGATGTGCATCTCTGTAATGAGAAGGGGTGTGGTCTAATGACATCAACACCCTATATCAGGTGTGCATAATTATTAGGCAACTTCCTTTCCTTTGGCAAAATGGGTCAAAAGAAGGACTTGACAGGCTCAGAAAAGTCAAAAATAGTGAGATATCTTGCAGAGGGATGCAGCACTCTTAAAATTGCAAAGCTTCTGAAGCGTGATCATCGAACAATCAAGCATTTCATTCAAAATAGTCAACAGGGTCGCAAGAAGCGTGTGGAAAAACCAAGGCGCAAAATAACTGCCCATGAACTGAGAAAAGTCAAGCGTGCAGCTGCCACGATGCCACTTGCCACCAGTTTGGCCATATTTCAGAGCTGCAACATCACTGGAGTGCCCAAAAGCACAAGGTGTGCAATACTCAGAGACATGGCCAAGGTAAGAAAGGCTGAAAGACGACCACCACTGAACAAGATACACAAGCTGAAACGTCAAGACTGGGCCAAGAAATATCTCAAGACTGATTTTTCTAAGGTTTTATGGACTGATGAAATGAGAGTGAGTCTTGATGGGCCAGATGGATGGGCCCGTGGCTGGATTGGTAAAGGGCAGAGAGCTCCAGTCCGACTCAGACGCCAGCAAGGTGGAGGTGGAGTACTGGTTTGGGCTGGTATCATCAAAGATGAGCTTGTGGGGCCTTTTCGGGTTGAGGATGGAGTCAAGCTCAACTCCCAGTCCTACTGCCAGTTCCTGGAAGACACCTTCTTCAAGCAGTGGTACAGGAAGAAGTCTGCATCCTTCAAGAAAAACATGATTTTCATGCAGGACAATGCTCCATCACACGCGTCCAAGTACTCCACAGCGTGGCTGGCAAGAAAGGGTATAAAAGAAGAAAATCTAATGACATGGCCTCCTTGTTCACCTGATCTGAACCCCATTGAGAACCTGTGGTCCATCATCAAATGTGAGATTTACAAGGAGGGAAAACAGTACACCTCTCTGAACAGTGTCTGGGAGGCTGTGGTTGCTGCTGCACGCAATGTTGATGGTGAACAGATCAAAACACTGACAGAATCCATGGATGGCAGGCTTTTGAGTGTCCTTGCAAAGAAAGGTGGCTATATTGGTCACTGATTTGTTTTTGTTTTGTTTTTGAATGTCAGAAATGTATATTTGTGAATGTTGAGATGTTATATTGGTTTCACTGGTAATAATAAATAATTAAAATGGGTATATATTTGTTTTTTGTTAAGTTGCCTAATAATTATGCACAGTAATAGTCACCTGCACACACAGATATCCCCCTAACATAGCTATAACTAAAAACAAACTAAAAACTACTTCCAAAAATATTCAGCTTTGATATTAATGAGTTTTTGAGGTTCATTGAGAACATGGTTGTTGTTCAATAATAAAATTAATCCTCAAAAATACAACTTGCCTTATAATTCTGCACTCCCTGTAAGTATCTACTCAGAAATGCTGGCTTTAAATCTTACTCTTAGAGCAGATCAGTTTACAATAATAATATTATTTGGGCATTTATGACTACGTATCATTTTTAAACACTGCCGCACGGTCTCTGACTCTTTCACACCCTATGATCAAACTTCGTATTAAAACTCACCGTTTTACAGAGGTTTTCTAATACACATGTATCATAGTCCGATAGCACCGATAAGCCAACCAGCACAATATTATTTATTTTTTTTATGCTTTAAATCCTGTATGTTTCTTGCATTTCATATACCCCCATACCTTTAGATGGATTTCTGTACTTATTGTCATTTATTTTGCATCACAAACTAACTATACAATCACCCACGTAATGAAATTACCTTGAAGCAGGTGTGGGTGAAGAGGCTGATGGGCTGTGAGAACGGCTGTCATTTCATCGTGATCTGAAGGATGGATGTATTCATAAATACTATTACCGGTCAGCTCCACCTACCAGGAAAAAACAAAGATCATTACTAGATAAATTGGCTATACACATGCGTCTGGTGTTAAGAATTTACTGGTAATATGGGTAGTGGATTATTTCCTACTAAAACGCAGCTCTCCAGCAATTTGTTAAACCATATTTATCATTCTATCGCTGTTTTTCACTAAAGTGTGAATGCTGTGAATTCAAGATTTTAGAGCAAAATGACCGAACTAGAAAAATTCTCTAAATCAGTTAAGCTGGCAGTTTGACTACTCTGGCTTTAAATTTGGAATCCACTTTGAATTCAATGTGAATCCCTGATAATTCACACATTGGTAGAATAAACCCAGTATGACTTGGCGGGACATCATGAGAATGGCAATTCAAGCACAACCATATTTTGAAAAGACAATAAATACTTTTTCCCCCCTTTTTAAAAAAAAAAAAAAAAATGCCTTCACCTGGGCAGTCTAAAGTTTTTTCTTCTGGTATAGTTAAGCAATAGTAGTATTTCTGAGCAGTCACAATCTGCATTGGGGAAGGGGAAGATGTACCTGGAGGTCTCCCTGATTCTTGATGGACCAAACAGGAGACACCATAGAGTGGAATCAAATGATTGCCTCATATCTCACGGAGACAAACAGTGCTTCTCTATAGTGTTTCATGTCTGGGGAACTGAGACACCCAGCTTACTTTACTAAGAACTAAATACACAGAATTGATATTATTTGCTCAGTTACATCAGAAAGAACTACTGAAAAGGATAAACGCACATAAATTATCAAGTCCATTTATTTAAGGACGAAAAACATTTGATATTAGACCATTTTTAAATATTGATCCAAGACATTCAGTCAAAGTGGGTCATTGTTTAAATCTAACTGCCGGTTTAAGCAAATAAGCCTTGAGCTCAAATCTAGTTAAAGGGAAATATGAATTTTAAAAGGCTTTTCAGACTGCATTTTCAAGATTGTCGAAGAACTCTTAAATGTCTTCTAATTCTATGCTGAATGAGTGAATTTTAAAATTACTGCTAAGCATTCTGCCGTAGGGATCATGCATCGTTAAGGTTTTCCCATTAGGTAAGCTCAGTATCTACTCTTGGGTTACATAGTTTAGTGAAAATAATAAAATTGAGAGATTATTATATTTTTAGATTAATATAACAAAGCCTTGTTTTCTCATTCAGCACAATAAGTCTATACATGGGCCTAGTTTTGCTTTATATTGTAATTAATTGAAAGTTGAAATGAAATTAAGTAAAACCCAGTTTACCCTCCCCTGTACTCGTGTGATGGCCCTCCAGGGTAGTTAGGGTTATAGTCTGTCATTTCGTATTGCGTAGAGGAATTGTAAATATATAATATAAAGAGGCCTGTCTTGTTTACCAATGCTACATTGAAGGGTTAAATCAACTTCTCATGGCTGTCATACTGACAGCAACAAGAATGTACTGAGAGAGTAAAATTCGCTGTACTGAGAGAGTAAAATTTGGTTGCGTGATGCAGGGCCATTTTACAATGCTCTCCTACGGGGAAACTTGGATGTGCATAGCACACTCGCCATGCATGCGCATCAGGTCCACAATGCAGCCCTATGGGAGCATTGGATTGGACCGTGGCCGGAGGAGGCCACGCTTCCTCGATGACATTGCAGGAGGCGGAGAGGTGATTAGCTGAGGGAACCTCAGCACTGGAAAAAGTTAGGTAAAATTTTCATTTTATACGTTTTTATTGCACACTGAGAGAGGAGCTGTATATAGCTAGGAACAGGGGCACAATAGCATTCATTGAGAGGATAAAGTGCTCCTTTAGACCAGGCTTCCCCAAACTCCAGCCCTCCAGATGTTGCTGAACTACAACTCCCATGATTCACAGCCTATCTATTTAATTCATGGACTCATGTGAGTTGTAGTTCAGCAACATCTGGAGGGCCGGAGTTTGGGGAAGCCTGCTTTAGATAAACACTGCAAACACCATAACCACTACAGCTTGCTTTTTACCCCCTTATTTAATGGGTCGGCTTGGAAACTTGCTGGGGTATGGTTTGTATGAGATAAGAAAATAACAGGAGGAGACAGCCCAAAGCAGACACTACAGCAAACAAAGACCATATAGGGTTCAGCTCTCCCCTAGAGTGTCCCTTTAAATCGATTTTCATTGAATGCCAGACTGTGCCAGTGAAGGCTTGCTTTAAAGAAGAAATTATAAAGTTAATAACTAAGTAGCTATTTTGTACAGTTTTACTGTTTCCCAGAACATGTAGAGGGTTGGCAGATATTAAACTGAAGTTTTTAATCCCGTTTAAGAAACATAAAATGGAAAAAATATATACTAAGTAAACAGATGGTATAAAAAGTGGAGAGTTGCATCAACTAAGTAGAATGTGAGCTTTAAGGATTACATAGGTTTCTTCTTCAGCCATGTTATACATATAAACGTATGACTGAAGAAGAGAATTAAATGGTCTTAAAAGCTTGCAATCTAATTGGGCTTCAAGGGAAACTGTTGTAACAGGTTGACCTTAACATATAAAAGCTCCGAAAGATTGCACTCTAATAGCTCCTAAAGTGGTAAATACACAATTTATCATAAAGATTAATAATAATTTATTTAATTACTGTATAAGTTGTTGTAGTCTTATGTACCTTCTATTTATTGTTCCAGAGCTGCCATGATCTGTGACCATTATACTAGTAACATGATTGGCCCTGCTTAGAGGCAATACCTCGTACAGAACTATCTTCCTCTTCCCGATGACAATGATACATTGGGAGTTATTTGTGAAACGTTTTCTGTTTGAAAAGTGGTCTAGAACTCTAACACTGGGGCTGTCAGTCTTAAAACCAGTGGAATCAGCAGATTTATTACAAATGATAGATTTGCCAGTTTTCTATGTTTGAACCAGAACAGATATTTTGTTTATAAATCTAGCACATGAATGGAGTAACATTGGTAGTTCTGTTCCCATATACCCTGAGATTAAAATCTCACGTTTTAGCATTTTTGGAATTCATTCAGTTAAATATTTCTCACTGTCCTCTTAATGTTTTATTTTTATGTCAACTTTATAATAAAGATGTGATTTTATTATTTTGGTACGTGGGGGACCTTAGCTGTAAACTTGATAGATCTAATAAAATTGCAGAAAATGATGAGTAAAAATGTCATCGGTGCATTGCTAAATTTCGCCCATTTTGTCAAATAACCAAATGATGGGTGTTGGTGCAGAACCTGAAGAAATTACTGTGAAAATGCTGCCAGAATGTAAAAAATATAAAAATAATATTTTGTGTGTAACTACACTTTAACAGTCTGCCCATTTATCCCAAAATAATCATGTCTTACCCTGAGACTCTGCAAATCTGCCCATATACCCCAAGAATCTGCCCATATACCCTGAAAATCCGCACATATACTCTAAGAATCTGCCAATTTACCCTGAGAATCTGCCCATATACCCTGGGAATCTGCCAATTTACCCTGAGAATCTGCCCATATACCTCAAGAATCTGCCGATTTACCCTGAGAATCTGCCCATATACCCTGAGAATCTGCCCATTTACCCTGGGAATCTGACAGTTTACCCTGGGAATCTGACAGTTTACCCTGGGAATCTGCCCATATTCCTCGAGAATCTGACAATTTACCCTGAGAATCTGCCCATTTACCCTTAGAAGCTAGTAATCTACTTATTTGGCATACAAATGCTCTTGCAGACACTAAGAATCTGACCATTTTCCCTGAGGTCATGAGATCCTGTCCATTCGTTCCAAAATGCTCAATCTGACACTATCCCCAATGTGCATGAGCCCCAAGAGCTTGAAAATCTATTTCTTAACTAAGAGAGCTTTAGAATGAAAGCATTCATCTTGAGAATCTTCCCATTAATCTGAGACATAAGATTATGTGAATCTGTTCATTCACTATGAGAATCTGCACACTGAGACTGCACACACTAAGACTATCTCATTCATCCTGAGAATCTGTCCATTTACATCAAGTCCAAAAATATTATATGTTTCAAGGTAGTGTAAGAATCTGCCTAGTCGCTCTGAGACCCTGTGCATCACTCTGTTGGCCACTAACCCTCAAAGGTGACCAATGAGGCTTAGACTTTCATCAACTCACTATTTACCACAAAATTATCAGTCAATGCATTCCAAGATCCTGTGATCCTGCCAATTTGCTCCAAGACCTGAAGAATCAGGTCATTCACCACCAGAATCATCTTATTCGCCACGAGCGCTCAGAATCTTCCCACTCATACTCAGAACCAATTCATTCACGGTCATTTTCACTTTTGTTCTATATTCTGTGCCTGACCAGCACCGGGCATTCTCAGTCCTGGAGTGCATGCATTTTGTATTTTTTATATAAAAATATATATAAACAAAAGCTGGAAATCCTTGCACACAGGCTTAAAGTATACCAATATAAGCCGGGTGCCAGCCAGGGCCTTGAGTATCCAAACAAAGGAGGGAGGAAGCTGCATGTTCGGTCTTCAATTAAAATCCCAAATTTTATTTAATATGCATTAAAATTGATTAACATTTAAGGACTTTCCTCAGGATCAAACATCAAAACAAACTACAACAATAATCAAATATATAGGTAGACATGTAGTGCATAATAGACTCACCCCAGGTGCTGTGCATTGCCGGCAGCGTCCTACTGGGTCCCGGGCGCATGCGTGTACGTGCTCCACCCCTAAAAGTGACATAGTGCCGTAAGTACGTAATTGCAGCTAGTGTGTCACTATGGCAACGCGATATGCTAAGACCGCTGCCATGGTGACTGCTATGCATACAGTATAATACGTCACTTTTAGGGGTGGAGCACGTACACGCATGCGCCCGGGACCCAGTAGGACGCTGCCGGCAATGCACAGAACCTGGGGTGAGTCTATTATGCACTTCATGTCTAAATAAACTGCTAAAAAAATAAAGGGAACACTTAAACAACACAATGTAACTCCAAGTCAATCACACTTTTGTGAAATCAAACTTCCACTTAGGAAGCAACACTGAGTGACAATCAATTTCACATTCTGTTGTGCAAATGGGATAGACAACAGGTGGAAATTATAGGCAATTAGTAAGACACCCCCAATAAAGGAGTGGTTCTGCAGGTGGTGTCCACAGACCAATTCTCAGTTCCTATGCTTCCTGGCTGTTTTGGTCACTTTTGAATGCTGGCGGTGCTTTCACTCTAGTGGTAGCATGAGACGGAGTCTACAACCCACACAAGTGGCTCAGGTAGTGCAGCTCATCCAGGATGGCACATCAATGCGAGCTGTGGCAAGAAGGTTTGCTGTATCTGTCAGTGTGGTGTTCAGAGCATGGAGGCGCTACCAGGATACAGGTCAGTACATCAGGAGACGTGGAGGAGGCCGTAGGAGGGCAACAACCCAACAGCAGGACCGCTACCTCCGCCTTTGTGCAAGGAGGAACAGGAGGAGCACTGCCAGAGCCCTGCAAAATGACCTCCAGCAGGCCACAAATGTGCATGTGTCTGCTCAAACGGTCAGAAACAGACTCCATGAGGGTGGTAGGGCCCGACGTCCACAGGTGGGGGTTGTGCTTAAAGCCCAACACTGTGCAGGACGTTTGGCATTTGCCAGGGAACACCAAGATTGGCAAATTCGCCACTGGCGCACTGTGCTCTTCACAGATGAAAGCAGGTTCACACTGAGCACATGTGACAGACGTGACAGAGTCTGGAGATGCCGTGGAGAACGTTCTGGAGATGCCTGCAACATCCTCCAGCATGACCGGTTTGGCAGTGGGTCAGTTATGGTGTGGGGTGGCATTTCTTTGGGGGGCCGCTCAGCCCTCCATGTGCCCTCCAGAGGTAGCCTGACTGCCATTAGGTACTGAGATGAGATCCTCAGACCCCTTGTGAGACCATATGCTGGTGCTAGACCTCATGTGGCTGGAGTGTGTCAGCAAGACGAAGGCATTGATGCCATGGACTGGCCCGCCCGTTCTCCAGACGTGAATCCAATTGAGTACATCTGGGACATCATGTCTTGCTCCATCCACCAACGTCATGTTGCACCACAGACTGTCCAGGAGTTGGCAGATGCTTTAGTCCAGGTCTGGGAGGAGATCCCTCAGGAGACCATCTGCCACATCATCAGGAGCATGCACAGGCGTTGTAGGGAGGTCATACAGGCAAATGGAGGCCACACACACTACTGAGCCTCATTTTGACTTGTTTTAAGGACATTACATCAAAGTTGGATCAGCCTGTAGTGTGTTTTTCCTCTTTAATTTTGAGTGTGACTCCAAATCCAGACCTCCATGGGTTGAAAAATTTGATTTCCATTTTTTTATTTTTGTGTGATTTTGTTGTCAGCACATTCAACTATGTAAAGAACAAAGTATTTCAGAAGAATATTTAATTCATTCAGATCTAAGATGTGTTATTTTTTTGTTCCCTTTATTTTTTTGGTTATTTATATTTGGTTATTGTTGTAGTTTGTTTTTATGTTTGATCCTACGGAAAGTCCTGACAAAGGACTGAAACGTTGATCTATTTTAATGCATATGGAATAAAATTTGGGATTTTAATTGGAGACCGAGTGTGCAGCTTCCTCCCTCCTTCATTTATTTATATATATATATAAACTGTAAGCACTTTTTACAAGACTGTTTTAATTTTTTGTTTTGCAAATTGATAAAGAAAAAGCTAACCCATCCTGAAGATAAATTGTTCTGCTTGTGCTTAACAAACACAAATGTAATATGGGATTCTGGCAGAAAACTTGATTTATTTTATTGCAGAAGAGTTAAACTCGAGACAAGAGGCTTACAAATGTGATAAATAGCTGGATATATTAAAAAAGCAATACGCTTTAAAAGATACAAGTTCTAGATCTGATATCTGGTATACTTACTGTATAGAATATTCTTAGAAAAATGTATTTAAATGATTTCCAGGTGGTTCTGCTAGATGCAGTTGTACAATCTGTGATCAATACATAACTTTCCAATCTTATCTCTGTAAACCTAACGATGATGAGTGCATATTTAAGGACATTTCATATTTTATGCTCTCGTTTGCAAATCCTTATTGTATTGTAACTATAAGTACGTTTAGAAATGTGATGTGATGCACAGATTTTTATTCCTGTAGCCTTTCCAAACACTATATTTTTAAATAAAAGCAAATAATAAAAACTTTACCCTTTCACTGCCGTCCGACATACAGTCATAGGGCTCATTAAAAAGCAACCATTAGGCTTCGTTAATTGCTTTGTAGCAGTAAAATACTGACAGATTTCCAGAGCCCACCCCTGCTTTTAACATCTGTAGGGCTCTGTCCTAATCTACTGAAAACAATGATCAGTTAGCATTTTGGAAAAAATGACAACTAAGGCAGAGTTTCCAATTTATTGCTATAGAAAGACCACAAAAACTGTCTAAAGACAGTAATGCCTCGGTTGAGATGAGGTGCACCATCCGTGTATCCCGTATACGATTGTGCTAGCCGGGTGCCGGTAGGTTTCTACCTAGTTTGATCCTGTCTCGTGTATCCGGTGTGGGGTACTGGTGCGGGTGTACTGGGGCAGATGTGTGGATTAAAATTCAGGCTTCTGGGCCCGGTGTTCTTGTAGATTTGCTCTTGGTGTGTTGCCCCTTGGGGGCTGTGGGGGGGGAGAGTCAGTGCGAGCAGAGATGGCTTGCGGTGCTCAAGGCCTGGTGCCGGCTCCCCAGGATTGGGGGAGTTGGTGTGTATAGGGCGCTTGTATCCCTCTGTGTGCTTAACGTTTTCTATGAGGTGAGGCATAAAACAAAAATTTCAAAACCACAATAACATATTTAAATGTATAAACAATAAGGCATTAGGGGTCTAGATGCGAGGCTGTATATCTCTGATGGGTCCACTTTATCAGGCTGCGGTTCAGGTGGCGACCCCGGGCATTGCTCCTGAGCGTGGCGTGAACAGGACTGTTCTTGTGGGATCCCACCCATGTTGATTAGTGGTTCCTGCTGGGGTAGGTAATGGTGGCATAAGTTCCAGGGCCTGCAGAAACGTGATGTTGGCTGACTCGAAGTTGAGCAGAGTTTTATTTCGCATCACTGCCATAACCTGGTTCCTGTCAGAGATTGAATGACAGCTTATGATTACGTCTTGGGTGGCTGTGGACAGTGCCTGTGCTGGCTTGGCGATCCGGAAGCAGGTATCAAAGGGTAGTTTTTTGGCCTGTGTGTGCGGCAGGATGGCCATAGTCAGTCGCCGGAGGTAGTGGGGACGTTCCGCCTGGTCCACTTCCGCGGCATACATCTGCTTCATTTCCAGCATCATGTTGCGGATATATTCCTTCGTGGCGAGGTTCTGCTTGTCCCCTTCTGGGGGTGTCCCCGTGCATGCCCTGGGTGTTGCAGATTCTGTGTCTGACCCCGCTGGAGAGGCCGGTTGCATGGTGCTTGCCTCCGGTTCTGGGCGTGCCTGTGCCCGTTTGGGATCGCTGGCCCATCGTGGCTGTGCTGTGTGGTGAGTACTCGTCAGGTCTCTGGGGTCAGCTCATCCAGTCCCGGGCTGTGGCCCAGTCAAGCGTGTAGGCTTTAGAAGGCTGAACGGTTGTGTAGGCCCCTGATCATCGGCATTTTTTTTTGCCAGTCGGGAGATATATGAAAGGGATGTGCCGATTGCCTGTGCCCTCAGGAAGAAAACAGCGAGTAGCGTTTTTTCAGTTCTGTTGGATAAATCGCTTTTTTTGTTGAGTTTTTGTGTCCCTATCTCCGGAGCTCATGAGTATAGCATCTGCTCAGTTCAAGCTTCAAGCTCCGCCCCCTCGGTTTTCAATTTATTACAATTTGCAGTTTAGTGAATACATTCAGGTCCCTAATACTTTCCGAGATGAGCTAATCTGCTGCATTAACATAACTCACTATGATAGGGACATACTTAAAGGGTAAGCATGAAAAGCAACAACATTCTAGTACAGGGGTCAGCAACCTATGGCACTCAAGGCTGCCAGAACCAAACAGGTGAGGTACAATCCTCAATTAACACATTGCAACACTTAGAGAAAGTGATCTCAGAACACATCATCCCCTCTCTCGTGAACGGGATTCCTCTCTGGAGTAGAGTAGTCCTCAGCAGCTCCTGGCCAGCCCGGTCCCCACTGGACCCCAGGGAAGCCAAGCACACTGTAAGATATACACAGAGCTGCAGAAGCAGCCTCCCATCATACAAATAATACAAACAGCCAACACACCAACACACACACAGTCCCAACAAACACCCCTGACAATCCACATACAGGCACACAACCCCACAAGCACCATCTCACATGCAATACCACAAGCAGCCCCACACATACACACACCAAACACACTATGTGATATATCATCCACACACACAAGTCCACAAGCAGTCCCTGCACAGCCCACATTTATAGGTATCACAGACAATACCACAAACTATTCATGAACGTATAATGTGCACTATAACAGCCCACATACACATAAATACAATGCTACAAAGCAACTGCAGCACTCACAAATAACACAAGCAGAATACGGTTACATACACACCTCAATTTAAAAAACGGGGTCAGCACGCCAAGGGATTTCTAAAGCTTGTTTTGGCACAGTACTACTAAAAAATTACCCACCCCTGTACTAGATATTGTGGAAGACAGCACTGCTCATAGTCAGAGCAAGATTAACCATAAGGCACCTTAGACAGCCACAAAGGGCCCAGGGTAGATAGGGATCCCAGGACCATAAATATGCACCACTCCTACATAACAATTAAAGTGGGGTTTACATTGCCTGCGTCCCTATGGGGTTATAATCCTCCTATGCATAGTGGAGGGTCCTCCTTTAAGGATCCATCTAAAGGGGCACAACAGCAGGCTAGCGGTTAGTGTATCTTTCAATCTATTAATTTAGCAGTGGACTATTCTAGCTAGCATATTGTGTAGAACCCATTTGTTCTTTTTTGGATGATGGATTCACTTTGGAATTATCATTACACGGAAAAAGCAGGGTTACTCCAGTCACTTGTCGGGTGTGCCGCTCTAAGGAAATAACTTTAAGTAACCACTAGTTCACTTTACTATCAATTCAGAAATACTGTTCATATGTTCCTAAAAGGCTGCCTGGTAAACGGCCCGTGAGAAAAAGATTTGGACGGCCATCCTTAGCATTTTATCTCCAAGTTAAGTCTGCTGAAGAAACAAAGCGGCCTTATTACAAGAACCTGCGTGATCTTACCTGCGAGAGACCTAGATGAACGGACGCCGTCTCTGAAATGTACATTATTTTTCCGTCAGACGCAACTACGAAAACAAATCCATCGAGAGTCTATTAGAAAAAAAAACGAAAAAAAAACAATGTCACATCAGATGTTAATGGAAACACATGTTAAAAACTGCTTACAGAGACACGCAACTCGGTGTTACTGACTAATCCAGCAGGGAGGTGACTTTAGAACTCTTGCGCCATTTTTCACAAAATGCGCAGCAGAGATCTGCGGTGGTAAAATGCTTCATGGCTAACGACATAATCTCAATAAAATTTGTACTGTTTAAATCATAAAAACAAATGCATAGGCAGTGTCTATTACATTAAGTCTTAATAAGATAAATATCTCCTCTGACTCAGGCGTGATGTGGTACCATACTAGTTTAAATTTAATTTGTCAAAATGTTTTAGAGCAGATTGACAGCTAGCCTGGATCCAACTAGGTATCTGCAGCTCCAGACTCAACTTGCAGAATACTGAGCTAGGCAGAGCCCTGCTGGGATGCACTCATTGGTTGATATAATCGGCTGAGCTCTCACAGTCCATGAGCGCAGTCCTACAAAGGCCATGCTTGGGCTGCAGAGAACCTTCCAACCATTCAAAAAGAAGAATACTGGATCATCTTTTCTTTGTTCTAAAATTACTACTTAAGATTTGAGAGGGATATCAGTTGTTTGTCCTCTAAAGGCACAGTCAATGTTACTTTTCCAGTGGGGCTATACAGGATATAGGGGCTGACAGGTAGTCTTGTTATGAGGGCAGTAGAGTCGTGTAGCTGCAATCTCAATTTGTGGATAAGGGGAATGTCACTTGGGATCCCATCCACCCCTACACATGATAATACATCTTCAGACTTCTCATCCGGGAACACATATTTTTCGTGCAACATAGATCTGACTGCCCCAGTGTCCAGCAGAAAAGGGACTATTCAGTGTAACATTGATAATGGGTGAGGGTCCAGCTGTGTCAGGGATATTTAAAGCATGTAGGGACACTGGGTTGCCAATTTCCTATTGGGGAGGGGGAGGTGGTGGAGGTGGTTGGTTGTCATGGGAGTTATAATTTGAAGCCTGGGGGTTTCTATTTTTAGGAGGGCACCTGCAGTTTTGTTTAATGTGTCCTTTCATGCCACAATTCCAGCAGTCTACCTGCCTTCTGTCTCCACCAGCTCTAGGGACAGATAGTGCCAGTAGAGGTGTGCTCCTCTTTCTAGTATTTAGATTGGCTTCCACTCCCATAGCCACCCTCTTCCTCTAATGAACCCATAGGTCTTACTGTAATGGCTGGGGAACCATATGAAGTTCCACTGCGTAATATTACTGGAAAGAGAGGTTCTGATTTCTGTAAAAGGGCCAATATGTGAGCTGGGGGTTTAGGGAAACCACAACTTGTACACTTTTCCATGAATTTGTCCATTTGCACCGTGGACAGATCCAATATTCTTTTCTGACTAGTGGTAGTAGAACCAAGAGATGCCTGATTTTGTGAAATCGCTTGGTCTTTAGGGACCAAAGGAGCCTGACTTAATCGGGTAATTATGGGTTATTATGTTGCATACCTACCTGTTTTTACTGTGTGCAACATATCTCTTCTCTGTCTAATAAATAAGGAATTTTTAAAAAGGGACGGCGCTCAAGTACTCCTGGCACCTTAACCACTCTAACCACTACAATGGACTGTTGTTTTTATTGTGTAATATATCTGAGCTCTGTCTAATAAATAAAGAATCAAAAAAAAGGGGAAGGCACTGGGATGATGCTATTGTAGTCCTGGCACCATAACCACTACAGCAGAATGTAGTGGTTATGGTACTTTTCATTTTCCTTTAAATAGAACATATATATTTGTTAGGCATAATTTCTACCGATTTATTCATCTCTCATTTCCCAATTTAGGCGCTCATATCGCTTTCATGTAAATACAGTATTTGAGTGTTTTGATTTAATGTAAGGATAACCTTACTTTTTAAGACAGTATTAAAAGCTAATTTATCTATAATGACAGTCAAGAAATATATTTATTTTTTTATTTGAAATTGGTTATTTTACAAATGTGTGGAACCTATCATTCAAACTGTTACTAAATAATATTCCTGCAGTAATTGACCGTTCTGTCCACAGCCAAAATATTTAATTGCACTAAATTTTAGTCTATTTAACATATTTCTTTAGAGAAACGTAAAAACTACACAGAATTCATGAAGCTGCAAAATAAATTCAACTACTGTAGCAAATTAAAAAAAATATATATATTCTGGTCATCCAGAAGGAACACGGTATATCCTGCATCTTTATGAAAAACATATTGTGCAGAGTGAGATTGCGTTAGGTTTGGGAAAGATTATTTGAAATCTGTTATGCATTTTATTAAATAATAGCAACATTCAACGCAAACGTCAAGGGTTTCGGCCACAAATGAATAATTGGAGTGGATTAAAGTCATCTACAAGCAAACAAACCGCTACTCTGAACATTTATTTATATTAAAAAAAACGCCCATAAATATTTAGACAAGCCTTGAAATAAATGTTGCCATACCACTGAGAGTTGCTCGTTATGAATAGCATTTTCCAAAAGAAGGGAGTTTAAAAAAAAAAAAAAAGAAAATAGAAAATAAATCTAGCTTAAAATTCAGTAAATGTTATCCTAATAGATTGTGCCAATGCATATATTTTTTTTATTTTTTATTTTTTTTTATTTTGAAAACCATGCAGCAGAATATATATCAATCTTTTCAATTCCTATTCTGCCTTTCAATTTTTTTTTTGCCTACCCGTGTTTGTCGAAATATTAAATCATCTCGCTGCACTCACCAATAAAGCTTAAAAATATTTATTTTTTTTCGACGGGTATTTGGATACTTTTTGGTGGCTCCATATCAAAAGCATACAATATATCTACAATGCAAGCATTCATCTACTTTGAATATATTTAAATATTCCAAAAATGATTCATAATTTGATGTATTTCCCTATCGTACGTAAAATTGGGAATTTAAGTGATGTAACCATATAAAAACATAAAATCCTCAATGGGGGGCAAATTGTATGGAATCTATAAAGTGGCTTGTCATAGGGGCCGATGTTAATTTTTATGTTTATATTTTATGCTCTTTTATATTTTGGCTTCTGTGCAAGCCTCCAAGTTGTATTATTTTTGCATTGCCTATCGTGTGCAAAAATAAAGAATTTAAAAAAAATAATAATTTGATGTATTTCAGAATTATCTGAGTATTTTTATTTAAAGACGGGCATATAATCCACACATATTGTTTCACTGTACACGTATGTACTTTTCTAGCGCCACTAATATGGACATATCTTTTAGACAAATAATCTGCATCTCACAAATTAAAGTAGACATTCACTCACATAATTGGAAAAAAATATGTCACAGTTATTTTCAGAAACTAATAAGGGAGTGGTTTACATTTTAAGGCCAAAATAGATGAATTGGAAAAGTCATTAAACTTCGCTAATTTACCTTCACTCAATTATTTTGAACTAAACTTTAAAATGAACTATCATGGTTTTCACTATAGTGAGAATTGTCAGGTATTCAAAATGAATGCAAAGTGAATATCACATTTTACGACAATGTATCTGTACTGAAACCATTGGCTTAAATACTTTTTCTAGTTCCGCTAATACAGGTGAAAATGTGGAATTTACTTTGAATTCACAACAATTTACTCTTTAATGTCAGTCTTTCACTGGTAATTATGCTCTCGTAAGACATCCATGTGTTGTAAGATAATTGCATGTCAGTTAGTTAGTTAGTTGACACTCACTCTGATAACTTTGGATAGATTCAAACATGATCCAAAATTCCTACATGATCGAAGATATATATGAGACACAGTAATAATACTTTGTCTCAAGTATGTGCTGACTGCGAAGGATATTTTTTCTTTGGCTAATAGGAGGAACATGTGCTCATGTGAGGTCCAAGAGATGTACATGGTACCTAATTAGGCAGAAGATCGTCAATGAAGGATCCTGTGATCTCACAGGTTCTTCCATAGAAGTGGAACCTGAAGCACTGAACAGACAGAGACTCAAATAATACAGCTCCTTTCTCCCTCTTTCCCAGGGTAGCACCATGGGTGCAGGTATGTCATATTAGGTGATGTCTTTCTAAGGATTGTAACGGCCACGCAGGTTCCCCTGAGAATTTAAAGTGAACTCAAAGTGAATTCCATATTTAAGGACAAAATAGTCTTCTTACCTAATAGCACAACTGACTTAACCCCTTAAGGACACATGACATGTGTGACATGACATGATTCCCTTTTATTCCAGAAGTTTGGTCCTTAAGGGGTTAAAGAATTTTTCATCTTAGCTATTTTGTCCTTAAATTTGAAATTCACTTTGCATTCTCACCGTACTGTGCAAGTGAATTTCTGTGACTAGATAACCATTTTTCCTAGTACATAATATAAATAAAAAGGGGGGCCACCCCCTAAGGGGTCTAGAGTGTGTAAAGGGAACTTAATAGGAGGTAACCCTAGAAATAGAATACATAAAACACAAATAAATCACCAATGGACATAAAATCCAGAGGACAAAGTAAAGTCCCTATATGAAAATAATGTAATTAAAACTAAATTTATTTATATATGTTTAAAAAGGAACAGTAATTGAACCAAAAAGACAAAAAAACACACACACACACAAAAGGAAACTTATAAACACAAAAAAAAAATGGGAGCTTATAAATTCTAAGTAAGAAATGGCATCTTGCTAATGGAATGATAAGATAGAGACAATTATGAATCCTAATCGTAAAAATATACTCAGAGAGTTTGAACAATATAATACCGATAGGATAGTACAGCAAGGAAATATATGCATTTAGCAATTAAATCCTATAACCTAAGGATAGCAGAGGGATAATGTCTCTGAAAAACATTATATAGCTAAGCCTTCATTGAACTTGCTAAACAGTGAATCGACTTCAAGGTCGCTATCTGAAAAAATAATATTGTAATGAAGGCAGGTTGGTTGTAAAACAGAAACCAGTATTAAAGTAAATCCGTCTGTTTGTTACCTGGTAGTTGTGGTGAGTAGAAAAAAAATACTCACAGAGAGGTTGAATCCAATAGCTTAGTTGTTAAGTAGTATAAGACCTATGAAATGATGCCTCGAGGGAATATATACAATGTGGCAAAAAATTCTATAACCAAAAAATTGCTAAAGGATACGGTCTCTAAAGAGAGTTTGTAGTTGAGCCTTCATTAAAGGACCACTATAGTGCCAGGAAAACATACTCGTTTTCCTGGCACTATAGTGCCCTGAGGGTGCCCCTACCCTCAGGGTCCCCATCCCGCCGGGCTCTGGGGAGAGGAAAGGGGTTAAAACTTACCTTTTTTCCAGCGCTGGGCGGGGAGCTCTCCGCCTCCGATCCTCCTCCTCTCCTCCCTTTCGGCTGAATGCGCACGCGCGGCAAGAGCTGCGCGTGCATTCAGCCAGTCTCATAGGAAAGCATTTACAATGCTTTCCTATGGACGCTGGCATCTTCTCACTGTGATTTTCACAGTAAGAATCACGCAAGCGCCTCTAGCGGCTGTCAATGAGACAGCCACTAGAGGATTTGAGGGCTGGATTAACCCATTTATAAACATAGCAGTTTCTCTGAAACTGCTATGTTTATAACAAATTGGGTTTACCCTAATTTGGACCTGGCACCCAGACCACTTAATTAAGCTGAAGTGGTCTGGGTGCCTAGAATGGTCCTTTAAACTTGCTAAATGTTTAGTCGACTTCAAGGTCGCTGTCTGAAAGAATTATGCAAAAGAGGGCTAAATGTAAAAGGAAGCAAAAAAATGCTTTAAACAAAAGGCAAACCTTCCATGGTAACTAAACAATTGCCCTAATAATAAAGCCCATTTCGGAGAGTTTCCCCTCTAGAAATAGTATGTAATACAGATCAAAGTAGCAGAGTACAAATAGCATACTTGTCATTTCATTTCTGCTATTTTAGCTTACCATATTCAATTCATCAATAAAGTCACATTTTTTTTCTCCTCAGTTTACAGTTTATAAAAAATAAAAAAAACGGTTTTACTATAACTTTTGGAATCTTTTCTCATACATGGCATCATTTCCCATTCAATTATCTCCCCAGCAATACAAACCAATTCATCCTTCTCTCGTTTTATTTTGTAGATCATAAAACATCATCTGTTTTAAATAATCTCCAATTAACTTCCAATCATCTCACTAAATCCTTAATTGTTCACAACCGCAGTATTTTCTGTGATGCTTCTTAAATTATGCAGCCATCACATTCCAATCTGTAACAGACACTGAATATGTCAAAACATTTATGTTTAAAGAATATATCTAAACAATCTCCTATTCTTTACTGCCTACACAAATCACACTATTTTTGTTCTCCTCACTCTTCCCAGTGCCCTTCAGCTAACAACCATCCCTGTTAATTGGCACTATGGTACTATGGTACTATTGGCACTATGGTTTTTAAAGGGATACTATAGGCACGCAGACCACTTCATCTCATTGAAGTGTTCTGGGTACACTGTACCTCCCATTAGTTCTGCTATGTTAAACACTGCAGTTTCTCTAAAATGTGAACTAAACTAAAAAGCTTACATTACAGTATTAAGATTGGCTCTAGTGGCGGTCTACCAGACAGCCATTAGAGGTGCTTCCTGGAGTTTGACTCTGAGAAACAACACTGTATGTCCTCACACTCTGCATGAGGCCATCCAACGTCAAAGAAAACCCCATGGATAAGCATTGAGGCAATGGGACATCAGCGCTGGGATCAGGTAAGTGAAAAAAGGTTTAATTTTCCCTTTACATTGCTGTGGGTTAGAGAGGGAGGGGGAGGGAGCAGAAGAACAAGTTACTGTTTGGAACACATCTTTGTATTACTAACACAAAAGCGTTGCTTTAAATCACTTTGATTTTCTCATTGCTTGTAAATGAACATTTTGCTCAAAACAATTTTAAGAGCCCTTGGGTTTTTACACCCAAGATGCATAATCTTGCACTTATCCACATTAAATGTCAGTTGCCGCAGCTCTGATCATTTTTCTAATTTTAGATAATTTAATGTGGATAAGTCCAAGATTATGCATCTTGGATGTAAAAACCCAAGGGCAGAGTACAGAATATGTGATGGAGTCCTAACCTCAACATCTGAAGAAAGGGATTTAGGGGTGATTATTTCAGACAAATTAAAGGTAGGCAGACAATGTAAGAGAGCAGCAGGAAATGCTAGCAGAATGCTTGGTTGTATAGGGAGAGGTATTAGCAGTAGAAAGAGGAAAGTGATCATTGTACAGAACAAATCCTGCACTCACTCCCATCCCTCCTGGGCGGCAGCAACGACCACAGTACACATCAGCCGCAATACATATAGTAAACACCAAAGAAAACTGGAGGGAATGCCCAACTGCCAACGTCAAGGCAGACCCCCCTAGACAGGTCCTACTCTGGAAGGAAGGAAGGAAGGTGAAGGGTCAGAGTAGGACCTGTCTAGGGAGGTCTGCCTTGACGTTGGCAGGCGGGCATCCCTCCAGTGGCCATTGGAGTAACTAAATTACCTCCATTTGTTTAAATATACATAGGGATTAAGGAGAGAGCGCAGGTAACTTTTTTTCTTTGGTTTAAACTGGTTCATGGATTGCGGGATAAAACTTACCAGGAAAGGTTAAAGGATCTCAACATGTATAGCTTGGAGGAAAGACGAGACAGGGGGGATATGATAGAAACATTTAAATACATAAAGGGAGTCAACACAGTAAAGGAGGAGATTATATTTAAAAGAAGAAAAACTACCACAACAAGAGGACATAGTCTTAAAATAGAGGGGCAAAGGTTTAACAATAATATCAGGAAGTATTACTTTACTGAGAGGGTAGTGGACGTATGGAATAGCTTTCCTGCTGAAGTAGTAGAGGTTAACACAGTGAAGGAGTTTAAGCATTCGTGGGATAGGCATAACACTATCCTAGCTATAAGATAAGGCCAGGGCCTAATTAAAAGTATTTTGAAAATTGTGCAGACTAAATGGTTCTTATCTACTGTCACATTATATGTTTCTATGTTTCTACACAACTAGACTATATTTCTCCATTTTCCATCTACATGTCCCATAGATATTCTTCAATTCTTTCTCCTTTTCAATGTTCTACCTTTTGTTCTTACATACATTATTTCTTCCAAATCGTATTAAAGTGCACTGAATGCTAAATTAAATCACATATCCATATCTTTGGTATTGGTATTACAAATTTTACTTCTGTAGTTCCCTATCTGTTAAAAATCAGTAATGTTAGGCAGTAGACATGTGCACCAGTGAAATGTTCTTTTCGTTCGAATGATTTTGTGCTAAATAAAAATTTCATTTGTCAATCCCGAATTTCGTCCGTAAACCATTCGATATCGAAAGAAATTCGTTAAAAAATAATTTGTTTTCGTCTATTAGGACAAAAATAGCAATGCGCAGACACTATAAAAAAAATAAAAAGGGGGGGCGGAGCTAGCAGCCAACTGAAGCAGGCGTGCATCAACAGAGCTCCGTATCTAAAAGCTTGAAACCCGCTAATTATCTACCCAAAATCTAACAATCTTAGCCCACAACACACTACCAAGAGATGGGAAAGAAGTCCAGGCACCAGGGGGCCGTAAAAGCAGCAGGGGTCCGCGATATTGGAGACCTTCTCCTTCGCCCCGCAAATGCCGCAGAAGTTTCCACGCCAAATTACAATGGCGACGCAACCTCGGCCTCCTCTGGGGAACAGGTACTGGATGAACTAGACGACTTCCCCGGCACAGGGGGACTACATAGCATCTCCTCAGACGAGGACAACAAACTACCCTCCACAAAGGGTGACATCAAAGCCCTTTTGTGCAACATCCGCACCCTGCTCGTGGCAGACATAGCGGTACTGTGGGAGGAGATCCACACAGTGGAAGGTCGCGTCAAAAAAACAGAAGCAGACTCACAAGGCCTCACCACACGCTGTATACAACTTGAGGCCCAAAACGCAGAGCTGCAACGCAACCAGACCCTGCTCGCTAACTGCATGGACGCGATGGACTATCGGCATAGGAGCCGGAACATAAAGATAAGAGGTGTCCCTGAGACCGTTTCTCAAGAAGACTTGCCAAGCTACCTCAGTAGACTCCTCGCCTCCTTACTCACACCACAGCAGGCGAAGGCAGTCTTAACAGATGGAGCCTACCGCGTCCCGAGAGCCACCAGAGCCCCAGCGGACACCCCAAGAGACGTCATCCTCCAACTCCAGACAAGGTCAGCCCAATTGACCCTCATGGCTGCGGTTCGAGGAAAGGCCACCCACCTTTTTGAGACAGCTACCCTGTCATTCTTCCAAGATCTGTCCAGGCCCACGCTGACATGGAGAGGCCTCCTCAGACCCCTGACCACCACACTCCGCCAAAGCTCAATCCCATACCACTGGGCATTCCCCAGAAGCTTAGTCATCATGCACATTGGAGCAACAACCCGAGTAACCTGCCCTTCGGAAATAGATACGGTGCTAGCAGCACTGGGCCTGCCACCACAACAGGAACAAGGCCCTCCAGCTCAAGGACCTAGGACATGGCAAACGTCAGACCATTCCAGCCAGCAAGCCCTAGCGCCCCGACCTCTACTCCCTTCAAAGCACAACGGGCAAACCGACACCTAACAGACACTTGAACACCACAGGTGCCCGAACTGCAAAGATCCTCAGGCAGGATTACAGCTAAGCTGCACCACCGGGGATTTACTCCCCACTCCCAGTTATTTTGATCCCTGGACAGGTTCTAAAGCAGCCACCTCATGAACACCAGTTCTGTTCTCAAGCCACAGAAGGGGACAACATACCTGCCTTGCCGCTGGACTTTTCCTTTATGGCCCAATAACGGCATGGGATGGCTGAAGCTGGTAGCTATTCTCAAACCGTCCACAATGCACATGTTATTATGGTTAAACTGACAAATACGTAGAACTTCTGCTCCACAACCCATGTCTTTAAGCTTGTTTGGACTACCTGTTTTGTTCTGTGTTTGCTACAAATATAGTTCTAACCAGATCACAGAAGCAACATAATACTAGTACCAAGCCACAGCCCAACACGGGTTAAAATCTGCAGAAGGTTGCAAACCCCACACACCCAGCCTAGATAGGTTTCAGTATTCATTGACTACTCAGACACACAGCCTGAGGGCCTATTTTAGCGAGTAGTTACCAAGAAATTGCCAGTTCACAAGTCCAATATTAATGCTAGACCTACCCACTCATTCATGGATACACTTGGTGAGAGCATGCCATATTACCTTGACAACTTGTACGTGGTTGTTTTGCGCCCATGACTGGGGTTTTACCTACACTCGATCTTAGTACCCTATCACTAACACAATATAGGTAGGCCATGAATATACAAATGCCGCAGACTACTTATCACTAGTGCGAAAACTGACTATATATTCCCAACTTTCCAACATGATCCCAGTCCAGAAATTCTGATATAGTACCCATGCGTCAAGCTTTTCCGAGCTACGTGTACAGCTCGGTTGGTGTACCTATCTAGCACTAATCAGACCTCTAAAACACCAGCATGCTAATACACAGCGATTTAGGGCAGACTACAATCTGCCAAAATCATTAAATCTCACAGATTCAGCCCGGACTAGCTTATTGAATACCCATACACATGGTCTGAGGGGGTGAATCGGAGTACCTTGAACACAAAAAGTCGGATTACAAGTCCAGTATTGACTCTGGACCGACCGACTCGCTTATGGACACGCTCAATAAGAGCATGTTCTACTAACCTCCACAAATTGCACAGCATCATTGTGTATCCACATCTTCTGCAATGCCTACACTAGGTCTTGGCACCCGGTCACTTACCCAGCTTGAGCTTGCCATTAATATAAATATTGTGCAGGTAACTTGTCTTTGGATACTGGAACTGCTGTATGATTTGAATGTTTCACCAATCACCTGTTTAATTGTTAGTTATCTCATGTTATAATCTTAAAAATGTGCAGTGTCTGCAGGTGCCGTGTTGCTGTCTCAACCTATATAAAAATGAGCCGACTAATAATGCTGTTGCTGCAGCAAGACTAGCCTGTAAGTTTTGCACGTAAAAAAAATTGAGAATTTTTAAAAAAGGAAATCATGACATGCCACACATGTCATGTGTCCTTACGGGGTTGAGTACCGCAATTTGGCAGTTGCGGTGACACAGGCTGTCCCTACTTTCTCGCACATTGTCTTACCCAGTGGTATTTGTCTCCTATCTTTTGTGTATTTTAGCTCCTACTCCGTGGCATAATAGCATGTTATTTTTGTTTTTTGCCCTTTTTACCTATACAAGGGGTAACCATGACCAGCAGCTACTCATGTTGTGGCCTAATATTAATAATCATACTTACCTAACATGTTTCCCACTTGAAAAGCGATAAATGTGCAAATTGCCGGAACATTTCACGGTTTATCTACAATCCCTTGCTAATATATAAGTAAATCAGAAGCTGGTTATACCTGTGAAACATACTAGTATTATCTTATTATCCTAATTTAAATGCCAAAATTACCCTGTTTACTTAATTAAAAATTGTGCAGTTCAATCCTATGTCATTATACAGAATGCCTTGATTTGCCTGTTACTGCAGGCCTGTTTGTAAACCCTTTTGCACTATAAAAATAAAGAATATTAAAAAAAATAAAAAAATAAAAATAAAAAGGAGGGAGCTGGCAGCGCTACCAGCTCCCTCCTTGTAATAATAAGCCATCCCTACCCCCCGCATTAAAACCTATGGGGATCACTCTGACCCCCATATTAATAAAAGGGAGGTTAAATCCTCCCACATGCAGCTACTCACAGCAAATTTAAAACTACTAGTGACTGGGCAGCTATTCGGGGGATAAATCCTAATGTCCCCCCTAGGTCCCCACCCATGAGCAGCGAGTGGGAAACCTAATTAATTAAAGGGGGGACCTAATGTCCCCCCTGGTCCCCACCCATGAGCGACAGGTGGGGACCCTAAATAAATAAATAATGGGGGGGACCTAATGTCCCTCCAATCTCCCACCCATGAGCAGTGGGTGGGGACCTTAATTAAATAAATAACGAGGGGGACCTTATATCCACCCCAGGTCTCCACCCATGACCAGCAGGTGGGGACCACAAATAATAAAGCCTCTAGTAGCGCCCTGCCCAATAAAAATACCCTACCTACCCCCTCACCCTAATAATAGTGAGGGGGCTACCATGTAGGCATGCGTTAGTTCTCTGGGATCTTTTGGGCACACAGGAATAATGTGAGCCGGTAATGATTCACTTTGTGCTATTTAACCCCCCTTGTACACTGCTAGGAGCCCTGTTGTATTTTCATATAGGCCCAATAGTGAGTTATATTATTACTCTTCTCTGGTCCTGTTCTTGGCTTGTTTTCTCGTTTATTCTAATTTCTCCACTTCTTGACCTTGACTTTTCTCTCGTTGTCCTGATTACTTCATTCATTGACCTTATTTTCTCCTGTTACCATTCTACTGACATTTCACCTTTCCAAGGATTTCTTGTTAAGTGCGGCCATTCTAAGGACCGGTAATGCTAATTGCTACATAGTTCAACTCATTCACCAGGTCTGGGTTATTGACACCTCATTTCAAAATGATTTTGGATATTTGAGTTTAATGCATGACAAATCCCTCAACAGGCACTGATGTTTAATGATCTAAGTTCTAGTATGTTTGATTGAACAGTAATGTTCCTAATTGATTGAATTTGTGGTGTTAACAATGTGAACTGCATTTAATGGCAGCCACTCTGTGTCTTGATGCCAACATCCATGTTCTTGCCAGGTTTTCCCCATGTCTGTGCCATGTTACACCGTAGTTACATAGTTGCCTAGGTTTAGAAAGGACGAAAGTCCATCAAGTTCTACCATGTATCTATCTATTTTTGGAATCCATCTATTTTCATTACAAAATCCACCAAACTAACACCATCAACTGAGTCAAAGGAATCTGAACCCAGCAGGGCTGCCATTAACTTTTCAAACAGGGCTCATGGGCTCATTTCAGATGCTCAACACTAAATCTCCAACTTTAAACTTTAAGAGATTTATCAATCGTCAGAAAGTAAAACACTGTTCATGCATGATCTTTGGCCAACTGTGTCTTGACCACGCCAAAACAAACACTCTTTTGCTTTACTTTTAAAATACCTTATTGTAAGGTTAGAATACAGATTATGATACTTATTGACATTACCTGCAATAGATGAGATCCTAGTTCTTTGGCCACATTATCCAATGGTCCAATTCGAGATGGATGGCCCCAAGCATCACCTAATCCTGAAGGAGAGAGAAGATTAATCAAGTTATGGAATAACCTTGGCTGAAACAGGTATGGTTATGGCTGTGCTATAAAAGCCTCCATTGGCATTATTTTGGAAATTCCTCATATAAAAACAAAACAGAACCAGATGTTGGCAAAACGACAAGTTTCATTTCATTGCTTATCAAGACAATAAACTTACTAACATGTTTCTCTCTGGGGAAAAGGATACTTTGGAAGTGTTTAGAGAAAAGTAAGTGAATTTCTTGTTTATACTATATGGTTGTGTTCATTTCAAGGGTTTTCTTGTAGAATTAGGTGGAAATGTGCATATGTAAATTCAGTTCCACTCAGTTTAACTTGGTTTTATCAGTTCAGACCCACCTGAAGCATTTACTGGCAAGCCGAACGGAAGGCCTTTTAGATTAACAGGTTATCGTTGCAAGTCCATTAATAAATAAATAATTGAACTGAGTAGAGTATTTTACCTTAACCTTTTTTGACAGGGACCTTAAATCACATACTTTCCATTCATCCATTTTAACCCCTTAAGGACCAAGCTTGTGGAATAAAAGGGAATCATGACATGTCACACATGTCATGTGTCCTTAAGGGGTTAAAGGGACACTACAGTCACCAAAATAACTTTAGCTTAATAAAGTCGTTTTGGTGTATAGAACATGCCCCTGCAGTCTCACTGCTCAATTCTCTGCCATTTGAGAGTTAAATCACTTTCTATATGCAGCACTAGCCGGACCTCCCCTGAATGTAACATGCACCTCCTTCCTTAGCACTCACTGTAAAGTGAGATCTAATGTTTACACTTCCTTCATTGCAAAGTTTGTTTAATTTAGAATTTCTTATCTCATGCTCTGTTAATATCTTGCTAGACCTTGTGAGAGCCTCCTGTGTGGGGTAAAGTTCAATTTACAGAGATAAAAAGGAGATAAAAACATCTATCACAATGCATGAACCCCTACACTACATTGTCACTAAACAGGAACCACTACACTATCACTACACTATCACTAAATATAAATCCTTACAATATCACTATACATAAACCCCTATACTACACTACCACTAAATTTAAAACCCTACACTACACTGTCACTAAACAGGAACCACTACACTATCACTAAATATAAATCCCTACAATATCACTATACATAAGCCCCTACACTACACTATCACGAAATATGAAACCGTACACTACACTATCACTACCATGAACTCCTACACAACACTAATACCCTACACTACACCGGCACTAAACATGAAGCACTACACTATCACTAAACATAAACATCTACATAACACTATGACTAAACGCGAACTCCTACACTACACTATAACTTAAAAGAACTACTACCCTATCATCAGGCATTAACCGCTACACTACACTAAAAAGAACTACGACATTAACTTCTTCACTATCACTAAGCAATAACTCCTGCAAAACACTACAGCAGCACAAAGCATTAACCCTTACACTAAGCATTATTCCCTATACATCTTAAACACTAAACATTAAACCATTCTCGCCACAAACAAACAAATTATTTCTGGCGTACGTCCCCTTTAACTTTGTTATCTAAAAGATGCAACCCACGTGTATCCAACATGTACGGTCTAGAAATAGCACAACTATAACTACAACGGTATTTTTATCCCTGCTTCTGATTATTTCGTCTGCTGGTCTGTGGCTGTGTAAATCCAAGTGATTCTCCAGAGCCAAAGAATGATATATCAAAGAGAATTGAATTTGATGAATGGAGGTAAATTTGAAACATGTTGCATGACCTCTGGCTTTGGGAACAATTCTTCATCCTAGTAAACGGCCACGCGTGTATCCAGGCAGATTACCTTAATGCCACGCAGCCCTTCGTAATTAACTCTGAAACTAAGGTAACAGAGATTTTTTTGTCAGGTCTCATGCTGTAGATTAGGAAAGAGTACGTTTGGCCGCCATCCTAATGCCAGGCTAAACCATACCGAGGTCGTATGACAAAACCTCACGTTCCTATACGGAGAACGCTTCACTCAATTCTGAAAAGTTCAACTCTGTCCAAAGACACAACATTACAGGTTATTCATTAAAGTGAGAACCGCCTGGAATTCAAAGTGAAATTAGAAGGGATTTTTTCTAATTTTATAACAAAATTGCCAAATTGTGAAAATCCTCCAAAACAAATATGCTATCAGATCCAGAGGCATAACTAGAAACCACGGGTCCCTGGTGCAAAAATTGCCCTGGGGCTCCCCCGTACGTCTAAATACTACCACAACAAGAGGACATAGTCTTAAATTAGAGGGACAAAGGATTAAAAATAATATCAGGAAGTATTACTTTACTGAGAGGGTAGTGGATGCATGGAATAGCCTTCCAGCTGAAGTGGTAGAGGTTAACACAGTAAAGGAGTTTAAGCATGCGTGGGATAGGCATAAGGATATATTAAATATAAGATAAGGCCAGGGACTAATGAAAGTATTTAGAAAATTGGGCAGACTAGATGGGCCGAATGGTTCTTATCTGCCGTCACATTCTATGTTTCTATAGCTGAATTAATAGATTTTGTTTAAATATGACCTATCTGATCAATAGATTGGAAGGGAGTGGTTTAGATAACTGTGTATAAAAACTGCGAAATCTCTAAACTAAACTAATTTTAGTAAATTTCAAGTTAAATGTACATCATTTGTTAATATAGCAATAAGGAAGCACATTTAAAACTTAGATTACCCTCTCCTGGGATATCATTCCACTATCCCTTTTTCAACATCTAAAACCCATCAATTATAGTTATTTACTAAACCCTGAATTTCCCTTGTGTTGCAACAGTGAGGGAAAAATTTAACCCTAAATTGCGTTTCTGTTGTTTACTCGAGACAATTTTATAACATGACAGGAGGCTTCGTATTTGCTTAAGTCTCTCTTTACTAGAACTCCACAGCAGCACAGAAAAACAACCAATCAGAAAAAAGTTAGGTACTATAAAACTCCCCTCCCCATGCATCATTCCCTCTTTCTTTGCTGCTCCGCATCAGTACAGGTCAGAGTACCACTGCCTCCTGCTTCTAGGGTGGCTTTGGGATTTAGTATGACTTATTTAGGATTTTTATTTAATATATTTAGTTATCCTCGGACTCCCCGAGCTCCAGTGGGAGACTGCTGGCGCCCTGGGTTTTCTCCCGCTCACCCACGTGGCCGCCTCGTCGCGGCCGGCTTCTTCAGAGAGCCGCATGCGTCTGATCGGCTAGAGGAGGGTGAGCCTGCTCGCTGCCTCTCCTCCAGATATGGTGATCGGACCGCAGTTGTCTTCCCACGCTCTCTTTCTGGCTATGCAGGCTTAACATATAAAATAGTATCCTGCTTCTGGGGGTTTAATGTACATTTTCTATATACATTTTATGCTTCTCCTTTCCCTGTATAATTATTCAGTTTTGACTGTTACACGGCTCATACAGAACCAGTTTGACAGTGAGATCAGAGGTCACTTGGATTTGTAATAAATCCAAGTATGTGATAACCTTTATATTGCACAATTAATCAGGTGCATCTTGGGTGCATATCCCGGTGCATCAATATATATGTTCCTGACCCATCTCTGGAGGCAGAGATGTGACTACTTTAGGATGATATTCTCTGTCCATGGCAATATAAAAGCTAAACAGACCTGGCTCTGGCTCAAACTGGTATGGGAGACCAGTCTATGCTGACAATAATTCAATCCTATCAGGTTCTGTGGCTAGTAGAGTTGGAAGGTAGTCCCTTCCAAGCTCAATAAGAGGGTGCATTGAGTTGGCAATTGTTTTGCCCTACTCCTGAATATACCATGGCTACAATAACCTTCAGGTGGCATGCTGATGATGCATAATTTTGATGGAGAAATCTCAAACAGATCTGCATGTTCATGTGCATAAACTGTTCACAATTAAAATAAATTACTCAGTATATCATTATTTAATGGACACTATATCACTGGAACATTTTCAGCCTATATTCATTACAGCTGGAATACCACTATTTGCCTGCTGGGCATTTAGGGACTACTAGTCCCAGCTATATGTTATTAACACTGTATTACACTGTCTAATAGGGTTGGCGCCGGGGGATCCTATGTCCCAGGGTACCCTGAAAGACTGACAAATATTTAAGGGACTCTGCCAAATGAAGGGGTCCCTTATTACTCATTTAGACGCTACCCAGGATTGGCCTACTCTGTCTGTGCCCCTTTGATTGGCCTGCTATGTCTGTGCCCCATTGATTGGCCTGCTGTGTCTGTGCCCCATTGATTGGCCTGCTAGGTTTGTGTCCATTTGATTGACCTGCTATGTCAATGCCCTTCTGACTGGCCTGCTCTATCTGTGCCCTTTGTTCGGTCTGAGCTATATGGGCCCGAAACCCATTTTGGCCGTGGGCCTGGGAGGATATCACTGAGGAGAGCCCAGTACCCACTATTGAAATGGACATAGGTGGGTACCCAGGCAAGCACTGCTGCTTTACTATCCAAGAGGACACCAGTATACGGGCACCTCAATATGATTGGAAGGGTGAAGGCCCTAAACCTCATGCCCTGAAGGGCAAGGTTTTCTTATGAGGATCCCCGGACGCGCCAACCCGGAGGTGGCACATCTCCAAAGAGAATTTCGCACAAGCAGGGACCAGTGCTCAGACCCCAACAGGGGAGCACGGTTGCCTTGCCTTCAGCAACTAACCATTAGCTGCCTTCCCGGTATCCATCTTAGGTATTGGTAGTTAGTCCTATGTCAGGTTTACCTCCTGACCCTTTCAGTTGTATTTACTTGGCTTGCTGTTCCGATCTGCTATTTACCTCCTGTCCGAGGTACGTATTTACCGTTATCTACATTATTTGTTGTTTCTTGTTGTTTCCCGGGTTCTCGTGGTTTGCGGAGAACGTCTCCAGCTTCCCTCAGGCTACCGACGGTCCTCCTGGACCCCGCGCGCACACGGGATCCGGGCGGTCAGTTGGTAGTTTCCATCGTTGTTTCTGAAGGTTGCATGCTCTCACTATCCCTTTCTGTTATTAAGGATGGACACTGCCCGAGGTTGTATACTATTCCATCTTCCATTGGTCTGGTTTATTAACAGTTGATTCCCTCTCAGGTGAACGATTCAGTGAGAGGTCTAGGGGTCAGAGAGAGACCCACATCGGGATCTCAGTCTAATACTGATATTAGTAAATGATGTACAGTACAGTTTGGATTACAAGAGGGTGCGGCCCTCCATCACCTCGATCTGAGAATTATATTTTATTTTCGCGAACAGAGAGCGAAACCCTTGTTTTGAGTGACACATTCTCGTAGAGGGAACCGATCATGGATATAGACTCTACTATTTGGTTATTAACGGGTGAGGCCCGCTCAGACTATCAGCTGGACGCTGACACGGAGTTTGGTCACATTATTAGAGGGTACGGCTCTCTCATACACTCAACACACTACAGTGCCGTCCATTTGTTCATCACACAGGCTTGTACCTGTATAGGACAACGATGACTGCATAGAGGGGCCTCCCTCCTCCATTCTATTAGACCTAACGACCCTACAACCAATTTCGTTATTGATCATGCATGATGTACATATTTAGACTGTATCCCTCTTTTTCACCTCCTCTGATGGAGCTACTGGATCCAGACCACTGTACCACACCCGAGAAAAACTCTCACAGGTGTAGAACGGGGGAGACTCCCACTTATTTACACACACTCCTGGAGATGGTACGGCTAACGGATGAGCCTCAGGTATTACAAGAGTACAGGTTTTAGTATATTCTGCGCTATATAAAACAGAAAATTGCATTCTGTTTTAGATATCCGGACCATTGCGAACAAACTGCGCAGACAGTTTTTCCCATATCAAGATGGCATGAGTTACTGAGACCTTCATGGAGACTAGGAAAGGCCCACTACCCGGTTATCAGGTACACCGTACGCATGGATTGCATGGAAAGATGGGAAACCCCGGTTGACTTGAGTTCTCTGGTCATTACAATCTTGGGATAAGATGACAGGACTGCCCCTACTCCTCCGAGGGCAGATGGGAGAACATGGTTCGGAGATGGAGGGCCCTCTGTCTATACTCTATATCCTTCACGGGAGCCGTCTCGGGTTGGGTTCTCGCTAACCCACCTTTTCTACTACCATCAAGAAGACCTACAAGACTCTATGGAGGAACCCAGTGTGTCCCGACTCCTACACAGAGGTCAAGGTCGGGTCGCAACCTACCACTGGAGTACGGCTCAGGATGTGTAGCAGACTCAGACAGGGCTACCGACATTCTCAAAGGGGACAACACATGATTCGGATGGTTGTAGCTAGACCCCTTTTTTTGATATATCTGCTCGCTGGAGTCACCGGTCGTGAACGAAGAGAATTTACGCCTTGGCTGTGTATTGGAGAATGATATGTGTTCTCGGGACTCCAAGCTAAGAAGGGAGGTTTCCCTCCATAGGGAGACCTTGACTTCGGTTATCAAACTCACATTCCTGGGTCTCTTGACCTTGGGTCTACTCGGGGAGATACAGTCAGGGGTACAGGGACCTGGGGGTCTCACTGTATTATACCCTATCTTGTAGGTGGTGTGTAGACCAGGAACCCTTACACAAATTTTGACAGGTCAGGCATGGAACAGGATCGTACTACAGGTAATGATTATTTCACTCTCGCTATAGCAAGTGAGGACTCTTTGTTGTTATACAGGTCCCAATCACCATTGGATCCGTACATCTTATCACTCTTAGACGATGACATATCTGGATGGAGATCTCAACTCCGGTTTACGTTTCCCATCCCTTTGAATATTTCTGGGATCCACTATTCCCCGAATAATCTACCACCGTTCCACCCGAGTTCTGTTGGGGACCCTGATTGAACGTCCTTTTGGAGTCTTTTCTCTACCGCAGCCGAGGATTACACAGTCCATTTGGAATATTGGAATCACTTAGGAAATGTCTAGTATGACCACACTCTTACCTGCATAATTTTATTCTCGGATGAGACATCTCACCGGGTAGGCCAGGAGGAAATGAAAGATCCTACTCGGTTCTGTTACGGAATTGGTGGTGGACTTAGGCGCATTCCTTGAGATTGGAGATCTACCTGCAAGGCCAAGTCGCCGGATGACCTTGGCACGATCGGAGGAGCCACCTTACACATCAAGGGTTGAGACATGGTGGGGGTTTCTTCTCGCAGCCCTAAGTCCGCAAATGACCTTTGACATCTTACAACTACAGGAAATTGGCTAATAGGTCAGCTTGGCAGCTCAGGGACCGACTGCTAGGAAACAGGTCGCAACCCCACGTACAATGGATTTATCAGTGGATGGTGTTTTTTCCGTACTTGGGATGCTTCGTCAACTGGCATCTTCATCGATCGGTCTACTGTCATTTATCGCAGTTGGTAAGTCCATTTAGGATTGCTCCGATATCCCCCGGAATAGGTACCAGCAAAACAAACAGCGTTGGATTTGTTGACTGAGCTTTAAAACAGCAAATACGAAGCATCCTGTCATGTTATAAAATTGTAGATTATGCTAGCTTTAGTGTACCTATAATCTTATTTTTATTAATGACAGGAGGAGAGTATTTCCCACACGTTCTTATCCTTCCCTTGTTTCATTTTAATAGTTTGGATTAATCAGGTACGAATGCAACTCTGTTTCTTTTGTCTGTTTTCATAAATAGGGTTGGGATATCTACATATTAGGGTAATTTTGGTTGCTACATTGGGTACCTACATGTTTATTCAGAGTACATTTCATTGGATAATCAACCTGTTCGATTCTGTTTTATTCTCGTTTCAGTTTACAGTCCATCAACACTATCTGATCTGGCAGTTCTTCTTGGATGGTGGACATTGTTGTCTTCATTGTATCCAGGACTTCATTTCTTCCCCATTATGTTTTCTGCTTTTGTTCTGTTTTGTCACAGCTTCAAAGAAGAAATGATGCATGGGGAGGGGAGTTTTATAGTACCTAACTTTTTTCTGATTGGTTGTTTTCTGCTGTGGAGTTCTAGTAAAGAGAGACTTAAGCAAATACTCGCCTCCTGTCATTAATAAAATTAAGATTATAGGTACACTGAAGCTAGCATAATCTACAATTTTGGGTCATGTAATTTGTTACACTGCTCTGCATGTGAATTGAAAGTGAATTTCAAATTTAAGGTCAAAATAGTCGAACTGAAAAAATTATCTTAGTCATCTATGCTTTCAGCTCTGCTACTCTGGCCTTAAGTTTGAAATTCACTTTAGAATTCTCATTTTAGTACATACCACTGTAAACATGGTAGTTTCACATAAAGTGAAATCATTTGATTCCCAATAAAATATATAGAAAATGCTATAAAACAGTGCCTTCCCATCTTGCACCCTCCCACAAGAACACGTTTAAATACATGAAAAAACCGAGCCAATTCATTAATCCTATGTCTAAGTCACATTTTTATATCCACGGAAATCTGAGTTTTTTGTTACACACCAGAGAATATTAGAATAGAATTATTTCACAATACAGCTGCTGTACAACTTCCAACATGGTCATTGTAACGGAGTTCCCTGTACCCCGGCTGGGTACCTCTACCAAGGACCACTTCCTAACTAGAACAGAGGACAGCCCGCAGCATCTTTGCCCACAGTCGTGGCTAGACAGGGGCCCTGGAACCGCTCCCTCCTGGAGCCGAATGGGGAACTCGCTCTATCCACCCCCATGCACTGGACGACACTCAGTCCTGGGAGCTCTAGTCCTTACAAGAACTGGACGATACTCAGTTCTGGGAGCTCTAGTCCTTACAAGAACTGGACGATACTCAGTCCTGGGAGCTCTAGTCCTTACAAGAACATTCCCAGTTGAATCCTCCACACTGGAATAGTGATTAGCCCTTTCCCCTCCCAGTAACCAGATGACACATAGTTCTAGGAGCACAAGCTGTAATGCTTTAATGGCAGCCACAACTTGTCTTATATGCATGTCCCCATGCAAGGACACTCCCCATCTCCCCCCCCCCCATGGACCTGAGAGTAAACCACTGTAGAAACAAATACACAATCACATTGGCTCTCAGGTCCAGGACACTCCAATACAAAATCAGATAATCCCTCCTCTGTGCCTTGGATCAGGAACTGTACTAATCTAATCCAATTATCTCCAAGCACAGAAAAAAAATACTTTGACCTATGGGAGTCATGTCTCACTGATCCAATAGTTCTGTAGTTCCTGCTCGATGCATTTTGCTTGTTTACCCAATATACGTTCCTTGTTATTCATTGTTTCACAAATAACGATTGTAACCAAAAACAACTAGATTTTAAAATGTGATTGGAACTTGGAAGCTTCATTAGATTAGTGACAAGGAAACGTATTGCCTTGGATCTACTGTAGTTTGAGTGCGAGAAGTGACCAGTGGCACTCAATCTACTAATCTCAGTGTTGGAGTATCATGACTTGGCTGAAATCCTTAAAGGAACACTATATAAGATTAGGAATACAAACCTATATCCCCAACGCTATAGTGTTCTGGTCTGTATTTAGATTCAGGTTCCCTCATAAATATAAATAAAGAATGGAAAGATATGTGTTTTATTTCAAGGTTCGCGATCAAGATCCTGCCGCTGCTCGACCTGCATCATTCAACGTCCAATCCGATGATTCTCATAGAGGAGCGCCACAGTCAGCCAACAAGATGAAAGCAGGTGTGACTGACAGTGGATGCTAAATAGTTCCGCTACACAGAGGATGCTAAATAGTTCCTGCCTCTAGGAACAGCACTGCGCTAAGCCAATAGTTTTAATTGGACAAATCCCGTATTCTAAAGAAGATGACATAAAGGGATCTGGGACAAAACAGGCACACAGGTTTGCCTTAGCGCTTAAAGCCACCAACACACATCACCTCTGCTGGCAGGTGAATTTCAAGCCTCATAACATTAATAGTAGCCACATTTCGCCATCATGTTTAATGCCTTAAATTTCTCCCTGGAATGTAAATATATGTGAGCATTGGCGGAAGGTATGTTTCATGAAAAATGTATTTGACCAATTCCAATGCAGCCAAACAGCTCCTCTGTCCATCAGAATAGGGAATCCTTAAAGGCACCTCAGATACTTTTTTTTTTTTTTTTTTATTAAGCCTTTTTGGACTTAATTTCAGTTCTCCAAAATCTGGCATTTTAGTGAATAAATTCCATTTGTTAGGATGTGAAAAGAAGAGGAAATTGGTATACTGAACTAAATTCACTATGCAAAGTATCTCTATAAAATATGTGATATAACTGCGAGTACTAAAAAGTCAGCGGGGCAGTGCAAAAAGTTTATTTTGCAAAGTTTATTGGAAGCTCTGCAGATGTTCAACCGAAACAAAGAAGAAAAATAACCCCAAACACATATCGTAAAAATGCAACACGCCAAGGCAACATCCGTGTTAGGCTTGACAGCTGGCACCCCTCTATAAACTACAGTGCCGGACACTATAACATATCAGAGATGTGATGATTTTTCTCAGACACACAGTATAATATACGGAACATTGCGTGTTCATCAGGGCAATCGTATATTGCATTCACAGAACCTTTTTACTGCCCCTTTAAATTCAACTGAAGGATGGAGGGTTTGGGAGAGTGACTTAAACAGGTCCTTACCAAAAAAAAACTCCAAATTGAAATAACCTTTATATAAAGCTGATAAGGTTTAAAAGGGATATTGAGTCATGTGATCAAAATAGAATTTTGCCTCTTAATAAATCAATGGAATTGATTGCAATTGAATATGAGGTTCAATTTTGGGCACCAGTTTAAAGAAATATTTTGTAGAACTAGTTAAAGTGCAGAGGCAGGCTACAAAATGAATTACTTAGAAAAAAAGATATATCCGAGGGGATAAGATAGTCATATACAAATATATACAGGGTACAGTACAAACCGCTGTGTGCTAACCTGTTCACTAGCAGGAATATACAACAGACAAGAGGTAGCCCATTGAGAGTGGAAGAAAGGAGTTTTCACTTACAGCAAAGGAAAGAGTTCTTTAAAACAAGAACAATAAAGATGTGGAATTCTCTACCCAAAGAGTTAGGGTAACAGATTATTTACATATATATATCTATTTTTATTAAAAGGCTGGATGTCTCCCCTTCTCCCCCCCAGCATATTCATGGATATAATTAATATGTATGTAAACAGGTTGTTAATTCGCAGCGAAATCTGATTTCTATTTTGGAGTCAAAAGGGATGTTTTCCCACTTTTTGTGGTATAAATGTAAATTGCTTAAAAGGGTGTATTTTGCCTACTTTTGGATCAACAGCATGGGTTTTGAGGGTTGATCTTGGTGGACTTAAGCCTTTTTTCAACAGAGATTACTATGTAGCAATATAAATAAATAGCTGTATAAAGTGAACATAACTTTGTAGTTTTCACAAGTACTTTTTAAAGGTTCACATCACACTCATCACTGCTCATTCAGGCTGGAAGATTGAGATTCAATATAGATGTGTCAATTCTGCATTATTTATGCGGTTCAGGAAGGTGGTCTCAGCATTATTTATACGGTTGAGGAAGGTGGTCTCAGCATTATTTATACGGTTGAGGAAGGTGGTCTCAGCATTATTTATACGGTTGAGGAAGGTGGTCTCAGCATTATTTATGCGGTTGAGGAAGGTGGTCTCAGGGTGCTGGGAAACCTATGTTTCTTTGTAAAACTGCTCAGAAAAATTTGGTCAAAAATTGTAGGATGACATTCACAGACTATTTACATAAGCAATACACCGAGTTTTAATGGTTTGTGTGCATGGATTGTCAAAAGGTCACAAAGTTTATAAATAAAATGAATAAAATAAATACAAGTTAATAGTCCTAAATCATTGGGCTCACACGCATTCAAACTTTTTAGCAGTATTCACTAAGTTAATAGCCCTAGATCACTGGGTTCATACACATTCACACTCCCTACCAGCATTCACTGAGTTAATAGCCCTAAATCACTGGGCTCGTACACTTTCACACTTCCTTCCAGCATTCACCGAGTTAATATCCCTAAATCACTGGGCTCACACACATTCACTGAGTTAATAGCCCTAAATCACTGGGTTCACACACATTCACACTCCCTACCAGCATTCACTGACTTAATAGCCCTGAATCACTGCGTTCACACACATTCACACTCCCTACCAGCATTCACTGACTTAATAGCCCTGAATCACTGCGTTCACACACATTCACACTCCCTACCAGCATTCACTGAGTTAATAGCCCTGGATCACTGAGTTCACACTCCCTACCAGCATTCACTGAGTTAATAGCCCTGAATCACTGCGTTCACACACATTCACACTCCCTACCAGCATTCACTGAGTTAATAGCCCTGGATCACTGAGTTCACACTCCCTACCAGCATTCACTGAGTTAATAGCCCTGAATCACTGGGCTCACACACATTCACACTCCCTACCAGCATTCACTGAGTTAATAGCCCTGACTCACACACATTCACACTCCCTACCAGCATGCTTTAATAGCTCTAGGCCAATGGGCTGTTAGGTACACATTTTCACCATCTCTCCTTGGTTTAATACTCTGTGACATTATAGTTGTTTTCTCTGACTCCCATTTGGTATTATTACTGAATCACTGGGTTATTGTAGATTTATTTTCCTCTGCAGTTTATTTGGGATTAATAATGTCTGTTTTGTTTTTTCAAAACATTTCCTCCCAGCACTAAATGTCAAGGGGTTAAAAATGATGGCTCACGTTGAGCTGATGTCATTTTTCCTTTCCGGGGTTCATGGGGTTAATACCCTTACAGCTTCCATGGGGATTATGGGGTTAATACTCCTGCGTTATACAGTGTCTCCCCTGCTGGTCTCACAGTTCTGGTACGTGTTTTGCTCTTTGTTTCTCAGATTAGACATTTAAACACAACTTTACTTGTCAGAAAATGTCTATTCCTAAGCAAAAAAACAAAACAAAAAAACAACAAATAACACATTCATGTAACAAGACCCAGAACAGTGAAAGGGAAAGGGGGATCAGGGGACACTGTGATCTAATCCTGGATACAGAATGGGACCCTGGGATCTAATCCTGGATACAGAATGGAATCCTGGGATCTAATCCCGGATACAGAATGGGATCCTGGGATCTAATACTCGATACAGAATGGGATCCTAGGATCTAATCCTGGATACAGAATGGAACCCTGTGATTTAATCCTGGATACAGAGTGGGACAATGGGATCTAATCCTGGATACAGAATGGGATCCTGGGATCTAATCCTGGATACAGAATGGGATCCTGGGATCTAATCCCGGATACAGAATGGGATCCTGGGATCTAATACTCGATACAGAATGGGATCCTGGGATCTAATCCTGGATACAGAATGGGATCCTGGGATCTAATCCTGGATACAGAATGGAACCCTGGGATCTAATCCTGAATACAGAATGGGATTGTTTGATCTAATCCTGGATACAGAATGGGATCCTGTGCTCTAATCCTGGATACAGAATGGGATCCTGGGATCTAATCCTGGATACAGAATGGGATCCTGGGATCTAATCCTGCATATGGAATGGGATCCTGGGATCTAATCATGGGTAAAGAATGGGACCCTGGGATCTAATCCTGGATACCGAATGGGATCCTGGGATCTAATCCTGGATACAGAATGGGATCCTGGGATCTAATCCTGGATACAGAATAGGATCCTGTGATCTAATCCTGGATACAGAATGGGATCCTGGGATCTAATCCTGGATACAGAATAGGATCCTGTGATCTAATCCTGGATACAGAATGGGATCCTGGGATCTAATCCTGGATACAGAATGGGATCCTGGGATCTAATCCTGCATATGGAATGGGATCCTGGGATCTAATCATGGGTAAAGAATGGGATCCTGGGATCTAATCCTGGATACCGAATGGGATCCTGGGATCTAATCCTGTATACAGAATGGGATCCTGGGATCTAATCCTGGATACAGAAGAGGATCCTGGGATCTAATCCTGGATACAGAATGGGATCCTGGGATCTAATCCTGGATACAGAATAGGATCCTGTGATCTAATCCTGGATACAGAATGGGATCCTGGGATCTAATCCTGGATACGGAATGGGATCCTGAGATCTAATCCTGGATACAGAATGGGATCCTGGGATTTAATCCTGGATACGGAATGGGATCCTGGGATCTAATCCTGGATACAGAATGGGATCATGTGATCTAATCCTGGATACAGAATGGGATCATGTGATCTAATCCTGGATAAAGAATGGGACCCTGTGATCTAATCCTGGATACAGAATGGGATCCCATGATCTAATCCTGGATACAAAATGGGATCCTGAGATCTAATCCTGGATACAGAATGGAATCCTGTGATCTAATCCTTGATATAGAATAGGATCCTGGGATCTAATCCTGGATACAGAATGGGATCATGTGATCTAATCCTGGATATAGAATGGCATCCTGGGATTTAATCCTGGATACAGAATGGGATCCTGGGATCTAATCCTGGATACAGAATGGGATCATGTGATCTAATCCTGGATACAGAATGGTACCCATGATCTAATCCTGGCTACAGCATGGGATCCTGTGATTTAATCCTGGGTACAGAATGGGACCCTGTGATCCAATCATGGATACAGAATGGGACCAATCTCCACCTCTGGAAAGCAGGACCAGAGTAAAGAGGGCAGGATGAGAAACAAGGGTTTAATTACAATGATTCACATGCCTCTAAGTGCCTTTTCTCTCTTTATGCTGGATGTGTTATTTTCATTAAATTTATACCAGAATTACTTTAAACACCTTGTATTTCATCAATAAATTGCAAATATTTCCCTCCTGTAATCCCTTTCATTACAGAGTACCAGATAGACTTCACTTGTGATCAAAGAGTTACATGCAGAGAATAAGATTTTTATAAATAGGAATTTATTTACTATAGAAATGGGAATATTTACTAACATGAAGTAAAATGAATGCTTATACAGGCTTGCTGGGCATTATGGGATATTGAGTTCTCGAAAATTACAGTTTCTGTAAACCCAGTCATTATAGGTGTATCTGTTACTCAATTAAGTACAATTCTGATCAGTTCATAAAAAGCCCAGATTAGATTAAGTAGATAGAGCCATGTTTACCAGAGCTTTTATTTACCGTTTAATGAATTAGTTTGGTTACAAATCACCAGGTTCATTAGTGAATTAACCCCTTGTGTCTCATATCAGTACAATAAAGAATCACGTCTGAATGAAAACAACGGCAAAGATTGAAGGAGAAATAATTGTTTATCTGTAAATAATGGGGACATGTTTTATAAACAATATACAGATTGAGATGGTCAGGGAGCTAGGGTATAGAGACTGGGGACCAACACATAGAATTACTGTAACAATAATTGACACAGACACTCCACACACTACTCACAGTCACATTAATGACTTACACTAATAGTACTGAGCAGCCATCTACACTGAGTAACATTGTTACTCTATGCCAGGATCTATTAACAGTGTCATTACACTGCTCTATATGAGCACCTAGTAACAGGAAATAGCATTGATACTCTGTACCAACGTTTAGTAACAGTAACATCTTTACAGCAGCACCCACTCCCAGTCCCAGTATTAACCTATTACAACTTTTGTTACATTACCATTGTTACTCTGTATCCATTTCTAGAAACAATAATATAATTACTCTATTTCGGTTTCTAAGAACAGTAACTGTGTTACTTTATAGCTGTTTGTGGTTACAATAAATAACTAATTTACTTTATAACCGTTTCTAGTAATAGGAATTAATATTGTTTCAGAAGATCAGCCTGTAGTAACTGTAACATTGTTGTAGGTCAGGCTATAGTAACTGTAACATTGTATAAGATCAGCCTTTAGTAATTGTAACATTGTTGTAGATGGACCTATAGTAACTGTAACATTGTTGTAGATCAGTTTTTAGTAACTGTAAAATTGTTGTTGATCAGGCTATAGTAACTGTAACATTGTTGCAGGTCAGGCTATAGTAACTGTAACATTGTTGCAGGCAAGGCTATAGTAACTGTATTTAAGGTTGTTGTAGGTCAGCCTTTAGTAACTGCAGCATTGTTGTAGATCAGCCTGTAGTTATTGTAAAATTGTTGTTGATCAGGCTATAGTAACTGTAACATTGTTGTAGGTCAGGCTATGGTAACTGTAACTTAATTGTAGATCAGTCTGTAGTAACTGTAACATTGTTGTAGGTCAGCCTATGGTAACTGTAACATTGTTTAAGATCAGCCTATAGTAACTGTAACATTGTTGCGGGTCAGGCTATAGTAACTGTAACATTGTTGCGGGTCAGGCTATAGTAACTGTAATATTGTATCAGTTTTAGTAACTGTAATATTGTATAAGATCAGCCTATAGTAACTGTAACATTGTTGCGGGTCAGGCTATAGTAACTGTAACATTGTTGCGGGTCAGGCTATAGTAACTGTAATATTGTATAAGATCAGTTTTAGTAACTGTAATATTGTATAAGATCAGCCTATAGTAACTGTAACATTGTTGCGGGTCAGGCTATAGTAACTGTAGCATTGTATAAGATAAGCCTATAGTAACTGTAACATTATTGCAGGTCAGGCTATAGTAACTGTAACATTGTTGAGGGTCAGGCTATAGTAACTGTAATATTGTATAAGATCAGTTTTAGTAATTGTAATATTGTATAAGATCAGCACCCAATAACATTCTCACTCTATCAGCTTCTAGTACTAAGGACTCTGTAGCAGCTTCTAGTAACGGTATCATTACTCTCTAATGTATACCGGTTTGCAGTAATAGTAACTATAAGTAAGGTAACATGTAATATTACATAATATAGGTCACATCACATTGCTACTCTGGTATGTGGAGTCAGGTAAAGATTTAATGGACACACAATTAAATATATCTATAATACAATAAATATGCTCTGTCTATGAACACTGAACAAACTCCACATATATAAGACATGCAGAGCTACAGCAGAGCTGGCTAAATGTGGCACTGCAGGGGCAAATGGACTACATTTCCCTTGATGCTTAGCGCAGCTGTGAAGAAATGCCTTTTTTACTGTATATGCACTTCTTGTATTTGTTGTCAATAGCAATGTTTCCCTATGGCATTCGGTAGGTAAAACTACCGAATGCAGACCACCCTGTCACCCCTGTATACAGACTGTACCCCCTTGCTGGCTGGATTACGTTCGGCAGAAGTTTTGCACGAACGGCAGGTTTCGTCACCATTTCGGGACTTCCTCGTGTTCGCGGCCATTTTAGCTCCCGAACAGCGATGTTTGCCCTTGAATGTCTGGAACGGAAAACGGACACTCAAACAGGCGAACACCGCTGAAGCCTCCAGACCTTCGGTAAAACCCCTTCCAAACTACCGAACGACCGGGCGTTCGGTAGAAAGACTTACCAACAGATGGGGAATCAAGCGAACCAAGGATGGCAGCTGGATGGCCGGCCGTTCGGGAGGTTTTTCATGCGATCTAAGACCGACTGCAGGGCCAGAATTCATGGAACTGTTTTCGGCTACTTTGCCCGTGCAGTCGGTCAAAACTTCTAAGTCCTATATCTCCCGAACGGCAGAACTGAATGGACTGAGTTTTTAATATGTTGGTCTCCCAGACAATAGCTATCTGGGGACACCATGTCCTTGGGGTACATCCAAACTTTGGGGAATTTCTGTTACGTTTTAATTGTGTTTAATGGTTATCTGAGGGGAGGAGATGTACAGTATGTATATTGTTAGGATTGGATGTATGGCTAATTATATGGGAGGCTCCCTTGCATGGGCTGAATTCCATAAAAATGTAATTAAACCTCCAGTTCATCTTTGTACCCTTATTCTGACTACGTATGCTGTTTGGGAGTTTGTGTGTTTTACTGTGGGAATTATCCAGGAACACTATTGGATTTACAATTGGGAATTCGTCTACTATAACTACCGAACGGAGGGCTATATTCACTGGGCTCTGGCTGTTCGGGAGGAAACTACCGATTAAGGTTTAAATGTACTTGGTTTCCTTACAGCAGCCTCTAGGCTGACATCTATAAAAGCAAAGCAGACACCACTACTAAGGGGTCATCATACATATATAATGGGTGCATGACTGTATTGGAGTAAGGGATTGTGAGAGCCAAGGGGGTACCGTTGGTGATATTATAGAATAATTAGCTCATATGGATAAAACACATCAACATACTAAAGTTTGTTAAATGGTAAATACAAGTAATTAAAGTAGTAAATAGAATTGCAAGTAAATTCAGAGTGAATTTCAAATCTGAGGTCAAAATAGCAGAACGGAAACATTTCTTCAAGTCAGCTATGTTTCCGGTTTAACTACTTTGGCCTTAAGTTTGAAATTCACTTTTAATTCAATTGATATTGTCATGTTACTGAATAACCTTCTATGAGTAGAATACAACCATTGATTGTTAATTCTAGGCCTCAATAGACAAAATGGCAAAATCCTCCAAGTCAGTCAATTAACACACACAGGGTAGTGGGTAAATTAATGGACACACAGGGTAGTGGGTAAATTAATGGACACACAGGGTAGTGGATTAATTAATGAACACACAGGGTAGTGGGTAAATGAATAGACACACAGGGTAGTGGGTAAATTAATAGACACACAGGGTAGTGGGTAAATGAATAGACACACAGGGTAGTGGATTAATTAATGGACACACAGGGTAGTGGGTTAATTAATGGACACACAGGGTAGTGGGTTAATTAATGGACACACAGGGTAGTGGGTTAATTAATAGACACAGAGGGTAATGGTCACACAGGGTAGTGGGTTAATTAATAGACACACAGGGTAGTGGGTTAATTAATAGACACAGAGGGTAATGGTCACACAGGGTAGTGGGTTAATTAGTAGACACACAGGGTAGTGGGTTAATAATGGACACACATTAATTAATGGACACATAGGATAGTTAATTCATGGACACACATGGCAATGGGTTAAAAAATGGACCCACCGGGTAGTGAGTTAATTAATGGACACAGAGGGTGGTGGATTAATTAAGGGACATACAGGGTAGAGAATTAATTAATGGACACAGGGTAGAGGATTAATTAATGGACACACAGGGTAGTGGGTTAATTCATGGACTCACATGGTAGTGGATACAGTATAGTTCTGAATGCTCAGTGACAGGTGATAAATTCTTAATAGTATTGAAGTGTAAGTAATTTTTAAAGTAAATGTGAGCAATTTTTAAAGTGAGGGCAGTTGATGTATGATTTTAATAAAGGGAGAATGGCTATAATTGTACATTGGGGAAGTGACTATATTTTTTATAGTGGGACAGTGATTATAATTTTATAACGGGACAGTGATTATAACTTTATAGTGGGACAGTAAATATAATGTTTATAGTGGGACAGTGACTATAATTGTACAGTAGTAGCAGTGACTATAATGTTTATAGTGGGGCAGTGACTATAATTGTACAGTAGTAGCAGTGACTATAATGTTTATAGTGGGGCAGTGACTATAATTGTACAGTAGTAGCAGTGACTATAATGTTTATAGTGGGGCAGTGACTATAATGTTAGTATAGTGTGGGCAGTGACTATAATGTGGCAGTGACTATAATGGTACAGTAGTAGTAGTGACTATAATGTTTATAGTGGGGCAGTGACTATAATTGTACAGTAGTAGCAGTGACTATAATGTTATAGTGGGGCAGTGACTATAATGGTACAGTAGTAGTAGTGACTATAATGTTTATAGTGGGCAGTGACTATAATAGTACAGTAGTAGCAGTGACTATAATGTTTATAGTGGGGCAGTGACTATAATTGTACAGTAGTAGCAGTGACTATAATGTTTATAGTGGGGCAGTGACTATAATGTACAGTAGTAGCAGTGACTATAATGTTTATAGTGGGGCAGTGACTATAATTGTACAGTAGTAGCAGTGACTATAATGTTTATAGTGGGGCAGTGACTATAATTGTATAGTAGTAGCAGTGACTATAATGTTTATAGTGGGGCAGTGACTATAATGTGTACAGTAGTAGCAGTGACTATAATGTTTATAGTGGGGCAGTGACTATAATTGTACAGTAGTAGCAGTGACTATAATGTTTATAGTGGGGCAGTGACTATAATGTTTATAGTGGGGCAGTGACTATAAATTTACAGTAGTAGCAGTGACCATAATGCTTATAGTGGGGCAGTGACTATAATGGTACAGTAGTAGTAGTGACTATAATGTTTATAGTTGGGCAGTGACTATAATAGTACAGTAGTAGCAGTGACTATAATGTTTATAGTGGGGCAGTGACTATAATTGTACAGTAGTAGCAGTGACTATAATGTTTATAGTGGGGCAGTGACTATAATTGTATAGTAGTAGCAGTGACTATAATGTTTATAGTGGGGCAGTGACTATAATTGTACAGTAGTAGTAGTGACTATAATGTTTATAGTGGGGCAGTGACTATAATGGTACAGTAGTAGTAGTGACTATAATGTTTATAGTGGGGCAGTGACTATAATTGTATAGTAGTAGCAGTGACCATAATGTTATAGTGGGGCAGTGACTATAATGGTACAGTAGTAGTAGTGACTATAATGTTTATAGTTGGGCAGTGACTATAATAGTACAGTAGTAGCAGTGACTATAATGTTTATAGTGGGGCAGTGACTATAATGGTACAGTAGTAGCAGTGACTATAATGTTTATAGTGGGGCAGTGACTATAATTGTACAGTAGTAGCAGTGACTATAATGTTTATAGTGGGGCAGTGACTATAATTGTACAGTAGTAGCAGTGACTATAATGTTTATAGTGGGGCAGTGACTATAATTGTACAGTAGTAGCAGTGACTATAATGTTTATAGTGGGGCAGTGACTATAACTGTACAGTAGTAGCAGTGACTATAATGTTTATAGTGGGGCAGTGACTATAATTGTACAGTAGTAGCAGTGACTATAATGTTTACAGTGGGGCAGTGACTGTATGACTGCAATAAAAGGACTGTAGAATATTAATGAAAACTAGTGAAGTAAGATATATAGATACCAGGAATGGCAATACTGAGATACATTCAGTTATCTGTGACTTTTACCCAGTGTGGAAGTAAATAGGAGAATTTAGTGACTGATGTAACACAGGGATCTCACTTACTGTCCCTTCAGACTATTACTGTAGGTCATATCTATCTAGAGATTTAGCCAAACTTAAAATCTATTAATGTGGACTGTAGTAATTAATTACTGGTCAGTGCCAGAGAGTAATCTCACTGGGGTGAAATAGCTACAATACTATATAAAGTGTAATGTAAAATACATAGCAAGTCCTTAAGAAACAGTCACACAGAACACACGATGAATGGGAAAATCTCCCAATTATCTGTCCCCCTTCTGTTTGTGTCCCTTCCCCCTTTTCAATTCCTTCTCCACAAAGCTGATTTACTAACAGAGAAGCCTCCTGTCTACTCTAATACAGAATAGTATGATTAGCATAAACTACCTCATATTCTATCCAAGATTGGAATGTTTACATGAATAGGTACTTAGTATCCTATCAGTAAAGTATTATTATATGGGATTAAATATAATATGTTTACTGACACATTACTGTCTATAATAAATCAGGATATATTAATTAATTATAACTACTAGAGTAATAATATATCAAAAATCTATTATTACATGGCATCCAATTCAATACATATAGTACAGTATAATAACCGTTTACATAATATGATATATCATATAAATATTGTAACTACTAACTCAATATTATATCAAAACCCTAATAATAAATGGCATGAAATACAATATATTTATTGAAGCGCTAGACATCTAAGATATACTATATAATGAGACAGTCAATATAAATAAAACTGTAATAAATAAATGAGATGAGACTTATTACATGGGGTGCAATAATATTTTCTTAGAAGTTACAGTGTTTTAATAACTGTAGTTTAAGTATTAGATAACTATTCTACATACTAACACAATATTATAACAGAATTATTAATAAAATACAATGTAGTATAACAGTTATTGGATACAATTAATTTCTGAGACAATGTTATATATCAGATTAAAATTTTAAGTTTAAACACAATACTTTATTAGATTCATATTATTGCGTAGTGCGATTTAGTCAGGTTATTGTAACATTTTACACATTGTTATATATCGGCTAAATAAAATATAACTATTAACTGCATTTTTATCAGGGAATATTACATATGTGCTACACTAATATAAATGAAATGGAATTTGAGATATAATTTTATTGCATAATATAAGCATAAGTATATAAGCTTTGTGTGACTTACAAAAGGGAGTAAATATTTTAGTTTTCACTAATAAATGACTATAAATAATTTGAGGCAAGATTTACCCCCTTTTTTTCATAATTTCTTTGCTGTGTGTTTGCATATAATAATGTTATATACGGACAGCGCAAAAAATATCCTGTGATGGGCATTTCTCACAAAAAATTGCTCAAATCAATTTTTATTATTTTCAACTTTTTTTTTAAATGTTATTTCTTATACCATGGTACAGCGCTACGGAATCTGATGGCGCTATATAAATAATAAAATCATAATAATAGCACAGTATTATATTTTATTCTCACTGTTTCCATGCTGTATATGGTTTACTGTCTTGTTTAAACAATACTTGCTATATTATTAATTTCTCCCTAAAAACACATTTTGAACAATTAAATTATATTACATTACTGCTGTCTATTTGCATAATAACCCCAGCGTCCACTTACCAGCAGACAAAGTTGCACATTAGCAATTAAACAGTGATTTATTTATTTTTTTGATGAGTTGAAAATTGAATTGCAAAATTTATCCTAGAGGTGAGCAAAAATCTACATTGGTAACATGGCTGTTTTAATTTACAAATTTTGCTAACTGTACAAATCGCTATTTATTATCTTAAGGATTTAATAAATTATACAAAGTAGGTAACCACATTATATAAAATAGAGGGTTTAAAATTGTAATTTTGCATAAATTATAAATCTATAAAGCACATATTAATTCCCAATCTATTTAAATTACAACTATATATTACACACTAAATATTAATAGTAATATTAAAATGATAATTATTATATAGATAATGTATTAATGGTTACATTATATAAGTTATAGCTATATAATATATAATATAATTGCAGTACTTACATTATAAATGGTATTTAGAATATACACCATATATTTTAAAGGTTAACGTATATAAACTGTAACTATGTTATTCAGTGTATATTAATAGGGAATATTGAAATATGAAATTATAATACACATTATAATACTTGTATATTAATGGTAAGCATATATAAATGGTAATTACAAAATATTCAGCATTTATTAATGGTAACTTTATATAAATTGTAACTGTGATAAAATTGCAAGTTTTGTGTGTGTTTTAATTTGATTTATTTTAGTATAATTTTATATTCTACAATAATTCTGCATATAAGGAATGCAGAGATCGACCGGGCATTTAGTCTGTAAATAGCATTAAATCAGATTATTCCCACTCAATCTATCATTATTCCTTATTATCTAAACACTTGTTATTTCTTCTGATAAATGAGTTGAAATGGTGCATCGCTATTAAGATGACTGTTGCTTTAAATTACAGTGTTTCAAATAATCCCAGTGTTCCCAGGACTAAACCAGTTTAAGTGCACTATTAATAAGGCGCTTTAAATATCTAATTGTTTGTGTAGTCCATGTGAATTACTAATCGTTTAGATGAGTCAAACCACCCCAATGCAGTGACTCTGGGGAAGTGAAAGGGTTACATGCTGGTTGGATTTAACCCTTCTAAATGGATCTGTCAGATGACAAAGAATATGTTTGGGGTATTTTACTGGAACAAGAGACAATTATCAGAATTTCAGTTAATGCAATGTCCCTCTAACTCACCCTGGGAGCAAATCACAGCCATTGTACAGCTCTACGGAGTCTGATGGCGCTATATAAATAATACAATAATAATAATTTAACTCACTTCCCAGGACCGGAGAGGTATATTCTGCTTTAAACATAACTCACATACTCACACTCAAAGAACTATATATTGTTTAAGTGTAGAAGTGTAAAAATGTATCATTATTAGGATAGACAGACAGAGACAGAGAACAGATAGATAGATAGATAGATAGATAGATGATAGATAGATAGATAGATAGATAGATAGATGATAGATAGATAATTATACTGAATGAACAAGTCATATCTCAGTGGCACAGTTAAGGAACACACAGGTTATATTAATGAAATATGCTATGTTTAGATATTGCACACACGTATATACGATCTATAAATTTATAATATTTTCATCTCACAAATGGATATTTATTATATATTGATTCTCATTTGAGATATTTATTATATATTGAGTCTCATGTTTTATACATGTTTGTAAATATTATTAGATATATTAAGTCCTAATATAACATAATATAGTATCGAAAATATAATAAAATAGAATAAGTATTTCGGTTTGCTGCTAAACGAGACTGAACATATTTACCTATGCAGAACTGTAAAAATACATATAATGTATTTATGTTAAAAATACATGCATATTTACACCTTGGTACAAAATGATTCTGTGCTTGTATGTGTGTTTGTAAATGTATGTGTGTCTATTTATATGTATGTGTTTTTTGTTTATATTTATGTGTGTCTATATATATGTGTGTGTGTATGTGTGCATGCGTGTATGTATGTGTGTCTATATAAATGTGTGTGTGTGTATTTGTGTGTGTGTATTTGTATGTGTGTCTATATATACATATGTGCGTTTATGTGTGTATTTGTATGTGTGTCTATATGTGTGTGTGTATTTGTAGGTGTATCTATATATATGTGTGTGTGTGTGTGTATTTGTATATGTGTCTGTATATGTGTGTGCGTGTGTTTTGTATGTGTCTATATAGATGTGTGTGGGGGGGGGGTGGCTATGAGTGTGGGAGGCAAATCATTTGTCTATAAGTTCTATAACATAATTATTATTTTATTATTTATATAGCGCCAGCAAGTTCCGTAGCGCTGTACTATGGGATAAACTGACATCATTACACTCTCCTTTGTAAAACACACCGTCCCCAAGGAAACCTCTCATTTATTCCCATCTGGACTGAGAATTACAGAGGGGTGTCCTAACTATGTGAAAATACCCTCACTGTTAGTTTGTGTTCATATAAAACAATTTCTACACAAAGGTCCCCCCTGTATCACATCCCTTGCCTGTGCAAGCTCCAGAAGTCCTTTCACAATATCTCAATGCAGGGGCTGCTATTTATCCTGCCAATCCCCCTGAGTATATTATATATTTTGCATATGCAATCAGGAGCCATCCTATGTGTTATACACAATTATATAAAATTTCCAGTCAATCAGTAAAGGCAGAAAATGGTTTGGAGGAAGGAATTTTAACTGAGGCAATATGTTGCCATGCTAGAATTCACCTGCACCAATACTGTCCTTTTCATTAAATCAGAACCTGATTAACTTGTGCATTATGACAGATTGCTAATCAGTCCCTTCCAGGATTAGATCGCCCCCTTATCGGTACATTAAATAATATTATTACAAACATAGTTAGTTTATTTGTAAACATTATAAACCTGAATTGTATTACTACCGTACAAAAGTGAGCTATGCATAAATAAATTAATTTAAAGAAAAATATATACACGTGCATCACTATAAAAGAATATATAAATTATCATTATTTAAATTATCATTATTAATGTATTTATTAATATCATATATAATTATCTATCTATCTATATATCTATTATGACAATACACCTATAAGCTCAACCACATATTATATATTTTTTATTTAATTAAATATATTGGTATAATATGCTCACAGTATGAATAGTGAATTAATTAATATATATATACGCACATAGATTATATAGATAAGGCAAAACCTGTCCTTACTATTTATAATATAATGATCACAAATATACTACAAATATACAGGACATTTGTATTGTGTTTTATAGCTGATATACGTATTTGAATGTATCATTATGTATCTTAATGTATTACTAAATATCCCCCCTGGGGCAGTTTATTTATCGAGTTTAAAATCCTTGTCTTTACTGGTTCATGCCTTGTCGGACCTTGTCTGCTGTGAACCATGTCTATATTGGGCCTTTACTGTACCTGGACCTTGTCTGTGTTTGAGCTGTGCTCTATTAGACCTTGTCTGTTTTTGAGCTGTGCTCTATTAGACCTTGTCTGTGTTTGGGCTTTGCTCTATTGGACCTTGTCTGTGTTTGGATCTTGTCTGTGTTTGGGCTTTGCTCTATTTGGACCTTGTCTGTGTTTTGGCTTTGCTCTATTGGACCCTGTCTGTGTTTGGATCTTGTCTGTGTTTGGGCTTTGCTCTATTGGACCTTGTCTGTGTTTGGATCTTGTCTGTGTTTGGGCTTTGCTCTATTGGACCTTGTCTGTGTTTGGATCTTGTCTGTGTTTGGGCTTTGCTGTGTTCGACCTTGTGTGTTTGGACATTGTCTCTAGTTGGACTTTGTATTTGGATTTTGTTTCTGATGGACCTTGTCTATGTTAGACATTGTTTCTATGTATGGACCGTTTCTGTTTATTTTGGACCTTGTCTCTGTCGGACTTTGCTCTGTTGGGCTTTGGCTGTGTTTGGGGTGTACTATATTGTACCTTGTCTATTTTTGACTTTGCTCGGTTGAACCTTGTCTGTGTTTGGGTTTTATTCCGTTATGTTGGCTGTGTTTGGACATTTATCTGTTGGGCCTTGTCTGTGTTAGACCTGCTGTGTGTTTGGACCTTGTCTACGCCGAATCATGTCGATATGTGTACCCTGTACTCACCGTCTGGAAAGACTGCCCTCATTTTTAGGTAGCTGGTGGTCAGGCGGATGATGGACGCTTTGTCTAGTTGGGAAGTGATGGCCGACGGCAGAGGCAATAATTTGGCCAGTTCATAAAATTCCCCATTTTCCTTTTCTCTTCTGGTTTTGGCCGCGTTTTTTGATTTTTCCTTCATCTCGACTATTGTAAAATAATAAAACAAATATTGGCATAATAACCCCAAGGTCTGTTTAATTGTAGAGACATTAGAAGACCCAGTCAGGAAGTCCTGCCTCACTCCCCCAGGAGATCCTGTAGACCTTCAGTTATAGACCTCTTCACCCACAGAATTCGAATTCTCTGATAGCGACCTGGCTTCCACCTCCATAATCCACATCAAGTCACTGGGTAATTCCACCAGGCTGGCTCTGAAGGTTCCAAAATGTATGTGTTCTCCTCAGTGTGTCTGTGAGTTAATTCATCAGGAGGTCCCAGCTGGAGCTTGTGCAATACACATCCCAAGTGTGTCTGATGGGGAAAAGCATCACACAATTAGTAAATAAAATGAAATGAAACATGAACACACAATCAATGAGAAAACATGCCTTATTCTTATTTTTGCACAACGTGTCCAGTTGTTAATTAGACAGTTAATGTCCCCCTCTGGGTACTCAGGGGTCTGTTTTGGGGTACACTGACACCCCCATATTGTACGTGCTTGGTTAGGTTCCTACTGGCTCTGTAAAAACATATTTCAAATAAAAGAGAGGAAAATAAAAGCTCCCAGTAAGTGCTATGCAGGAAAGCTGCAGCCAAGGAACGTGCAGGCAGTAAGATGTTAGATGCAGTGTGGTTAGTAAGGTCCCCCTACTCACTGCACTGACCCTGGCAGCATCCAGCAGCTCCCCTTGCTCTGATCCCAGGATGAGGTGTGAGGGTACAGGGGGAAAGGAGATCTTGTTCACTTAATTCTTTCCCAAAGTCTGGAGAAAACAAGTAGAGGCTGAGAGGGAGAGGGAGTGGACAGGGCCCCCGCTGAGTGACGTCTCCAAATCCTAGCAGGGAGGCAGGAGAACTGTGCAGCAAGGAGAGCTCACTTCAGGCATGCAGGGGTTAAAACACTGCTTTACTCTCTGCTGGCTGGGCATTAACTGTGCTCGGGGTTAAAGGCATAGCCTTCTATAGCTATCTGATAACTAGAATTGAATATAATACAATATGATATAATACAATACTATTATAAACAGCACCGGTCTTTAGATCTGACAGATCAAAGTAACAGTATATGATATTACTGTATTGGTAATGAGCAAATCTGCAATTCTATTGATTATAGAATTATTTCTGTTTGTTAGTATAATGTATATGTCTGTGCACACCAGCACACTGATATACACACTGACACACTGACATACACACAGACACACAGATATACACACAGACACACGGATATACCCACATACACACTGACATACATACAGACACACTGAAATACACACTGACATACACACAGACACACTGATATACACACAGACACACTGACATACACACAGACACACTGATATACACACAGACACACTGACATACACACAGACACACTGATATACCCACATACACACTGACATACACACAGACACACTCATATTTCCATAGACACACTGACATACACACAGACACACTTATATTCCCATAGACACACTGATTTACCCATAGACACGCTGACATACACAAGGACACACTGATATACACAAATACACACTGACATTCACAAATACACACTGACATACACACAGGCACACTGATATACACACATACACAATGATATACACACAGACACACTGATATACACACTGATATACACACAAACACACTGATATATACAAACACACTGATATACAAAGACACACTGATATACACAAGCACACTGATATACACAGACACATTGATATACACTAACACACTGATATACACACAGAAACACTGAAATATATATATATACACACACACACACACACACACTGAGATACACACAGACAGACTGAGATACACACAGACACACTGAGATACACACATACACACTGACATACACACATACACACTGAGATACACACAGACAGACTGAGATACACACATACACACTGAGATACACACAGACACACTGAGATACACACAGATAAACACAGACATATCCCAACACTACAGATACAATCCAACTAACCTTCACTCTGACTGCCTGTCCGCTTTTTAATATAGTTCAAACTGTACATTACACGTGGAAATATTGAGAGTATATACAATATATATATATTTATGTGTGTGTCTATATATATATATTAAGTAGACACACGCCCGCGCACACACGCTGTATGTATATACATGATATATATACTATCGTTTAGCTATATATATATATTAGTAAATGTAAGAGAAAATGTTTCTATATAAATTTGTCCATTTAATTGGTGACTAATGATTTTGATATTAGTGTCATTCACTGATTTAAGTGTTGTATGCACCAGATAAACTTAGTTTTGACATTAGAATTAAATATATATATATAATTTTTAAAAATTTCATTTTTTTTTCTAATTTGCACAAGAATTGATTTGTCCTGTTAGAAAATATCCAATTTCCATAATTTTTTTTCTCTTCTGCTTTTTCAAAAATCCCAACTATTTGGATATTTGCGCTGACTTTATACGATTTAACCAAATTCGATGAAATAGAATTAGATGAGAGAAGTGGGTATATGTACTATGCTGTGCTCTCAGTTAAGCACGTTGCTTTCAATAAAGCAGATTAATACCAATGTGGTGACATGGGGTGGGGTGAAGGGGGGATGTAATGGGGGGGGGGGCACACTTTCTATAAATTAACTAAGTATAAAAGGTGTAGAGGTTAAATGATTTCAGTTAGAATGCAAAGTGGGAGAGGAGAAAGAAATTACTTTGAAAAAAAGTATGATAAATACACCTCATCTTCAATTAGCAAATATATATTTAGTTTAAGAAAATTAGGAAGTTTTACGTTTGTGTTATTTTTTTTATTTTTTATTTTGGAAGAATCAGATCCTGTACTGGGAACGTTGTAGCTATGGAATAAATTGGTACTAATATCATTCTACCCAGCTCTAAATGTGACTCTATGGGGCAAATCCCCAATCCCAGTCCCTTCCCTTCCATAACATGTAATACGTGTAACTAAATGTAACAAAGACGTGTACACAGTATCTGTTATAATAAAACTATTAGAACACCTTTATAATACACTTTTTAATCCTATTATTTTCATACTTTTATTGAAACAGTCAGCAATTGCTCAACATATTAATTTGTGATGTTAATTATGTTTATTAATTAAAAAGAAATTAAAAAATAGAGTCGCAGATTTTTTTCCCCAGCGAAAGAAATGTACATTTTACAGTGAGTTTCTGTGATGGGTGTAATAGAATTTTACCTACCTGTACTGCAGGCTTAGAAATGCACACACATCGTTAAAATGCAACACACAGTTATCCCCACAGCCCCTGATTTATTAAGAGATATCTCACCATTCCTTTATTCTATAGCAGAGAATCACCTTGGTCCTAGGTCATAGTTAAGGTAAAATAATTGAAATATACTCTGCTTAATGTACTCTTTAAATGAGCCGTTTTTGGGGTGGGAGAGAGTTGTCCCACACCATACACCGAGAAACCATTCTTTTTAGGAAAACATAAAACACTTTATTTGACCCCTAGGCTACTTTGAGTGGCTTAACTGGGAATTATTTGAAACTCAATGAAGTTTGAGTTACTAAATTATAGAGTATACAAGCTAGCATTTATAAATGTGCAGAATTGTAATCAAACAAAAATAATGAGCAGATTTTAACTTGATTGCCTGGTTAAACACACTCGTTTACTTATTACATATTGAGACAGTCAAAAATAAAATGAAAAGTGTGGGTGTGTTATAAAGGAAAGGATTGAAGCTTTTTTGTATGGTTATTTTTGGAAAAATTCATGAAGGTTATGATATCTCACTGCTAACTATTCCATACAGATAATATCTGTTTTATATTATTTACAGAGGACTTAGCTAAAAAAAAAAAACCCTCAAACCTTTAGATTTATCACACGCAAGCCATCTGTGTGCCTTATTGCTATGTGATATGGTGGTTTGCAATGTTTTGTAACATACTTATTGGGGGCTGATTTTCTAAGCAGTGGGCTGCAGTAAGTTGAAAGAGAACTGATTTTATTTTTCATTTTGCCTATTTAAGCCTAATTTTTGCAGTTTGGTTGTAGTTTCCCAAAACTCACAGAATAGTCTATAGTTCTATATTCCTTTATATCACCAAGCGTTTATGTTTGGGATATTCCAATTTCCTGCAATGGACCCAGGGCCAGTCATTGCAGGGATCTATTCACACAAACATTAATAAATAGCAACACATAGACAACTAGCCAGTCACAAACATCTTATTAGGCACACATACAGAGTTACACTTTCACATTCATGTAATTGGCCACACATACACACATAACTTGGCATGTACAGCAACCTAATTAGTAACCTGCTCACACATGTACATAGACATAGACATAAACTAACATGCAAATACAGACACACAGAAACACAAACACACGATTAGTCACTAAAGTGAGAATTTAAAGCGAATTTCAAATTTTGAAGTCAAAATATCTGAACTGGGAAAATATTCTAAGTCAGCTTTGCTTTAAATTTAGTTACTCTGGACTTAAACTTAAAATTTACTTTGAAATAACTTTGAATTCTCATTTAGTAAATAACTATGCCAAAGTAGCACAGTGTCAAACACATACTCACACACACATACACTAAGACAAATCCGCTGACACTCACACAAACGCTGTGAGATACAATGACAAATATTCTGTGTAAACTATTCAAACTCAATTATTATGGCCTAAAGTTTCAAAATTATTCACTAAAATATGAAGTGTGGGAAATTCAAAGTGAACTCAAATTAAATTTAAATTTTGAGCTCAAAACAGCAAAATTGTAAAATCCTTCAAGTCAACTATGTTTCAGGTTTCGGTGATTTCGGAATAAAAGTTATAAAATTACATTTGATTTACTCTGAATTCCAAACAATTCCCATTGTAGAAAAAAAGCCCTGTTTGAATTCACTAGCAAGTCTATTCATTAATCATCGAATTTTGGCAAATTATAATCTGAATGGAAAAAGTTAGACCAAAATAGACAAACTGTGAGCATAGCTGAGATTTTAATTTGGCACAATTCTCAGTTTAGTGATATGGACAATTCACACTTTTGTGAACAATCATTGTTAAAGGACCATTATAGGCACCCAGACCACTTCAGTTTAATGAAGTGGTCTGGGTGCCTGGTCCAGCTAGGTTTAACCCTTTCTTCTATAAACATAGCAGTTTCAGAGAAACTGCAGACTATATTGGCATTTTATAAATAAACTGCCATTGCTTGCATTGCATTTTAGGAAACACCATGTGGCATGTTAATTGCCTTTCAGGAATGGAGAGATGCGTTTATTAGTAATTCTATTTGGTCATAATTCAGTCAATCGACTTACAAATGGAATTAGCTTAAGGAAATAAAAGTATGTAAGTATATGCATAATATTACATATGATTACTATGTATCTAGTTTGCAATCCACTGATTAGGCAAATTTCATGCCTTTTTCATTTTTCCAAGTCATTTCCATTGGCGGGCAGAACCATTGCATGGACAAAATTCGGTTCACCAAACAAAATATATATTTTTTTGACAAATTGATTCGTCCAAATGAAATAAACTAAACTGTCACTTAACTCTTTTGATAGCAGTTTATGTCTATACACAATGCTTTAACCTGAAGATAAATGGTCCCGTTATAACTCCTCTCCAGTGGGTGCCAGCACATTCCTATTCTGGCATTTATCACTTTCTGCTAATCAGGCCCATTGCATTGCAACCTGTCTCCTCTTTCACTCTATCTTTTCCTACCTGCAGAGCCTTGTGTTGCCACCATCATTTTACATATTTTGTAGAGCCTCCAATTCAACCCTCCTTAAGGGATGGGTTGCAGTGACTTTTGCTTCAACATTTCATCTAAAGAGCTTTTTACAATTTCCCTCTTCAGAGTATTGTACTGCAATGTTTC